CTCAGTAACTTTGAGTGACTATAATCCCTTGATTACCCAGATAAACACCAATTCACTTATCCAGAAATACCATTCAATGTCTATACAAAGAAAGTAACCAATGTTTTGGAAGATATGTTTCAAACTTTTTGTATAAATAATTCATTTAATATTTGCCATTGATTTCAATTCTGACAAAGTGATATGTTCTGTCTTTGATCCCAATATTCTTCATCAATTGTGATACAAATTGATATTTTTGTAATCTCATAAGAAGGATAAGATATTGAAGTTTAATAATATGTGTGATTGAGTTGGTTTTTAAGACATTGCAATTTTCAATATTGTCTAAGTCGATACCCAGACTCATTCCCAGACTCATCCTTTTCAAAAATATTAAATTTTCAAAGTTGATAAACAATTTTCGAAACCATATTTTTAGATGTACTTTTAGATTTCAAATATGACATCACTTTGACTGAATTTTGAATTTTTAATGACGTAAATCAAGATTATTTCTACTTGCATTTAGTCTATTACAAGTTTGTAAATGTATCTATAACTGTACGTGTCATTTAAAAAAAAAACACAAGTCCCCATATTTGTCGTTATTTGATGCAAGTATCCGCTCCGGCCACATTACCAGCTTCAGGCAATTGGCATGCAATATTTTTTTATTACACAAAACAGAGACGCGTGAATTGGAAATGACAGGCGTTTTCAATAGTTTAGGACTATGTCAGATATTTTAGAAGCATTTTCTTAATGTTATAGAAAGTAATGGAAAAACGTTATTTCGGAGCAAATGACGTTTGCACCGTTTTCGGTAAGTCGTACTTGATCAGAGCTGGGTTACAACTGAATTCCTACATGTATCAGTTGCTGACACACTTTTACAGGAGGAAGGTTGCAAGAAGTAACTTTTGGCAATGCAATAGGTTAGAGTTACCTAGGTGTAAGAAAATATAACGTGATAGGCTTTAAAGTGGTAAAAGCAATTTTCACGGCCGAATCGGACTTCAATTCAGTCCAATTCGGCTGTAAAAAAATATAAAGAAATAGTTAAAAAATAAATTGTAAACGTTTGCTAAATTCTGTCTTGTTCTGATTGAACGTGTCATTTTAAGAGCTACAAGAAAATGTTTTTTCAAATGCCCCTCGTAAAGAGGGAAAGTAAGTGTTAATTGAGGGTAACATTTTAAAAAATTGCCTCAATCTTGCGGCGATCTTGGCAAAGATAAAATTAGAACGCGGCAATATTAACGAATGGTTGATATATTTCTTGCCACGCTCTACGACTCCCATGATGTGATCTTATAGCCTTTTACAGGGTTTAACTACCGCCCGGTCGCTTGTAATGTAATCAGTAGTGCAAGCACGATCTTTCAAATCCCATAAGCTATATTTTAATGTGTGTGTACAATTTTCTCACCCACTATAAAACCATCAAATGCATACGTATTGAACAGATCTATCAAAAATGTACATGCTGTCGATAGTTCCAAAGAAATGGCGCGTTTTGAGTAAATCGAACCTTTTCTCTGATATTTTTGTATTATTAGTTATTGCATTACAAATACATCATTGAACAAAATTACACTGTATTTATTGGATAAAGAAATCCTAATAATATATGCCTCTTAAAATAGATAAGATACAAATTGAAATAAACTCCTGGGTCAGTTTAGGTATTCCCCATTAGAGCTACCCTTTGCATTCGTTTGACTTCACTTCTTAAAAGAGAGCTTCGTCTTCACTCTGCACGCAGGGTACATTAGAGCCCATGTAATACAAAATCATGAAAATTGAAATATCTGTTTTATCAATTGACATTGAATTCTCAGCAGTGTTTTAGATTAGAATTCCATCCTACACTCCCCTATATTAGTTTAGCAACCAGAATCCTCCATTTAAAAGCGTGTTAAAGGTGCAATAATTAGTGCAGATGGGTCATTCAACGATCATGGACCAGTGTCAAAATATATTTAAGTTTGGATATTTCATCAAGACTAACATCTATTTTTATTATCTACAAAGAAACCCTCTAGATAAACATTATTTTAGCTGATATTCCTCTTGAAACATGGTGGATTTTAAAAATATAAAAGTGGAAGTCCCCTTTTTGAAGCTTTGAACTGAATTTACACTTCTTAATGCTGAAATTGATAATTTATCCATACATTTTAAGAAAATAGGTATGTCAAAGAAGATGTTACACCAAATGTTGCCTTGATAGCTCAGAAAAAATGAAAAAACTTTCCTATTTTCTCTACAGTCCTTATTGCCCCTTTAAAGCCCATTAATGTTTGAACCTTTATTTTGTTCCTTTATTACGTTAAAATGTTACGTTAAAAGTATGTGCTTGAATAAGAATGCAATGAACATATGGATTTGAACCTTGGAAACGGAACGAACGCAAGCAAGTGACACAGCCAAATCATGGTAGCATGTGTGCTACTATGAGAAATCCGAATGATATTTATATTTATATCATACTTTGACGTGTTACAGGTACATAAAGCCGGTTTGTAAAAACTTATATTTTCATCAGCGGGCAGATAACTTATATTTTCATCAGCGGGCAGATATAGCTTTACGTCCCGCTCCGAGCGGGCAGATATAGTAGGGAGGTTAAGCAAGACGATTTTTTATGACGCGAACCGCAAACGTAAACCTTTACGTTCCCGTTTGCGTACTATGAACAGACGTGCTTTAAGCTGAGCACTTTAGACGCAAACGCAAACCTCAAAATGATTTTTTTCTTTTTCTTAGCGGCGTTTCGTTGTATTTTCTACTTTAAAAATATAAAAAATATTACTTTATTGACAAATTGAAGTGTTAACAAAGGAGATGCTTCACACCCTGGTAGTGTTCTATGACATCTTGAATCTTACAAAATACAACTGGACGCAATAATATCTTTAAAGCAAGTCTTCAAGGCATTCATAGTTTTATTACTATGGTGTCACAATATGTATAAAGAATTAGGATGAGTTGACATGTGGGTAATTGCAATTGCATGTAATCTCATCAGATTTTACATATGGAATGGGTGCCTCAATATTCAAGTTATATTTGATTAGATTGGACACAAATGATCTCGATATATACACAGATTTGTGTCAAACATATTTATATATTCGACCTATATCATATTTATCTCAATCGAACTTGATAAAGTATGAAAAATCCTTTACGGAACGACCTACCTAGACTTTGATTTTTCACGTTTGGATGTACGTAAACCGGGAAATAAGTAGAACAATATGACGTCACATCCTGAGAAAAACCTGCGCGCGCCTTCCCGTTCGCGGTTTACGTTGTAAAAAGTGGTGTTGCTTAACCTCTCTAGTATATCTGCCCGCTACGTCATAATCGCCGTACCATATTGGTTCATTCTTTTTTTAATAATTTTTTTTATTTCAAAGAAAAAGCATGTTAAAGCAATTGCAAAAAACAATTACAATACAGTTCCATGGTAAACATACATTTTACAATTTTACAATACAATATTGGTTAAGCGTTATTCTTTAAGAAATGTTATAACATCTTTGTAACGTTCGCATACTGTGAACTGAACGACAATGGAGAAAAACGCAGACAATCGCGATCTGTTTGATGCTTTAAAGAAGGGAAAATGCAGTATGCCCTGTTAATAATCAAAGATTAGAACAGGAAAATACGGCTATGGACAAGAATACAAAACTGGACACGAATATTCTAGAATAATTCCACGGTCTGTTACAAAGTTTCTGAACTGTGGCCAAATGTGAACAATGTGAACCAAATGACCAAGATCGGTATGGGATAAACAGATCATCCTATAGTCGGTTCAGGATATTGGGATTTTCCCTTGACCTATAGGATAATCTCCCTATCGTCATATCTGTCCTAACTAAAAGATTTTTTAACCAGACTGGGCAGTTACATTGTAAGAACTGACACTAATTGTAAAAATAAAGGATTCTTGCAAGACGTGATTAAGATTTTGCACGAATACCCTATTTTGTATGAATCATTGGAAATGTATTTGAAAAATTGCAGCTACACAAATGGAAAATGGCCGTTAATGGTCAAATTCAACTTAAATTAGGAAAACACTTGGACGGAATCAGTTTCCATTAACCCTAAGCTGACAAGATTTTCTAATGTTCATACCAAATATGAAAACATTGTCCATTGGAAACTAGGTATGAAATACCCAACGTATGCTTGGGATTATGCCCAACTTCTTTATCTCTTAATTCTCCATACAGAAGGTGACATGATTTGTTTGAGTTGCAACGAAAATACGTCTGATATCGTCAAACATACCTTACTCTTTTGTCCAAAATTATTTAACACCAGAGATTGTTGGTTTGAAGACATAGTAGACGTTTTAAATGTGGCAGATTCTGTTATGCTGTTCAACTCAGAAACAGATATTATAATAGAGACCCTTTTAGGGGGAAGATCAGATCTCCTTTATAATATTGATCAAATTCAGTGGGAAAAATTTATCACTCTTTGTGCCAAGCATATTAAGCATATGTTAAATACATTTTTAAATTAGAACATATCCATAAATTGATATAATTTGAAATATTGAGGTTTCTATATTTACTCATGCAAATGTATCATAAAATACATAGTGTTGTTATTTTCATTATTGTATATTATATTGTTTTGTATTTATATGTCATGTATAATGTTTAACTCTCCATAGTTTGGAGGAAATATAGATTGAACAAACAAACTCCGCTACACCTCTCTATATAATGAATCTACACCGTGAATCAAAATTTCGTTAAAAGGGAGTTTCTATTACAAATGAATGCATATTAGTTAAGTACCAATGCTAATTAGTATTTACGTTTGCAATTCAGACATATAACTACGTCGTTCGGTTTAATCATCAATCGACACCTGTAAGAGATCCCTGCTCTTATGACATTGGAAATCATAATTGTTATTGTATATGGCCCATTATAGGAAATAACTGGAGAAGTAATTCAATTATTTGACTTATGATGTATTTCCAGATGCGCTTGATCTACCCGATAACGCGTGGCAAGATTACAAGAGAGGGGGTGAGAGAGATCGCCATATGATGAGGTTTGGACGAAGTTTGTTAGATAAAGACAAACGCACTAGATATATCCGTTTTGGACGATCCGTTGATTCTTCCTTAGATTCCCCCAGGGACGCAATGTTAACGCAAGCTCTCATGGGGTTTGGAGAATCAGATGCACGCCAAAAGAGGGCCCTTGGAGGGCATTACATGCGATTTGGACGCTCTGTAAACCATGTGCTAAATGTAGATAAAAAACTGATCGAAAATGAAATATCTAAAGATGACAATAATTATGACAAACGTTTCATGAGATTCGGAAAGAAAGATGGTGAAGACGAAAAACGTTTCATGAGATTCGGAAAGAAAGATGGTGAAGACGAAAAACGTTTCATGAGATTCGGAAAGAAAGATGGTGAAGACGAAAAACGTTTTATGAGATTTGGAAAGAAAGACAGTGACGACGAAAAACGTTTCATGAGATTTGGAAAGAAGGATGGTGAAAATGAAAAACGTTTCATGAGATTCGGAAAGAAAGATGGTGAAGACGAAAAACGTTTTATGAGATTTGGAAAGAAAGACGGTGAAAACGAAAAACGTTTCATGAGGTTTGGAAAGAAAGACGGTGAAGACGAAAAACGTTTCATGAGATTTGGAAAGAAAGATGGTGAAGACGAAAAACGTTTCATGAGATTCGGAAAGAGAGATGGTGACGATGAAAAACGTTTCATGAGATTTGGAAAGAAAGATGGTGAAGACGAGAAACGTTTTATGAGATTCGGAAAGAAAGACGGTAACGATGAGAAACGTTTCATGAGATTCGGAAAGAAAGACGGGGAAGATGAAAAACGTTTCATGAGATTTGGAAAGAAAGACGATGAAGATGAGAAACGTTTCATGAGATTTGGAAAGAAAGACGGTGAAGATGAGAAACGCTTCATGAGATTTGGAAAGAAAGACGGTGAAGATGAAAAACGTTTCATGAGATTTGGAAAGAAAGACGGTGAAGATGAAAAACGTTTCATGAGATTTGGAAAGAAAGACGGTGAAGATGAAAAACGTTTTATGCGTTTCGGTAAAAGGGAAAAGGAGTTAGAAGAAAACAAGCGATTCATGAGGTTTGGAAAGAGAAGTAATGAACGACGTTTAGAAACCGAACAATTAAACGAAATTACTGATACTGGTGAATCGCCGGAAAACGAAAAAAGATTCATGAGATTTGGTAAAAGTACAGACAAGTTATCTGCGCATGCGCAAAATCAATTATCAGGCTCAAAACGATTTATGCGTTTTGGAAAGAAGGACGATGTTGACACTGCTGAGGTCTCAGAGAAACGTTTCATGAGATTTGGTAAACGGGCTGACACGTTGGACATCAGCTCCCTCGGGACAGATGGTTCCAAAGAGTAATTGTCAGACAACATGGTTGTTTGCAAAGGGTCCCTGTAATCAGTCAGTCTAAATATTACAGGCATTTAATTGCAAGTAACGTATTCTCCAAATTATCAATACATTTTCGAGTAATATAAAAATATAATTTTAGACAAAACAATAACTGAAAATGTGAAAGTTTGGTGAATATGGGACTCATATAGTTAACACCATGGAGATGAAGTCAGAAAGATGGAGTTGTTACAAAAACTGCGATTGAACAAGGACATTGAATGGCATTCTTCAAACTTTTCTCGGTTTATACTTCGTCGATAAGGGTTAGTGATGTTATTTGCCAAAATACCTATCCAACATATCGCTCTTAACTCCAAATACATTCGCATTCGCATGATACCGAGATAATACCAAATGCGATGCAAATGTTATAACTGTTACACCAGAGAGTAGAAACATTAGAATTATTCATTGAATTAAGGTACATTAAGTCCATAATATTAGGTTACATCCATACTATAATTATTATATAATTATATTATCTATTAAGGTATTGCCATCAAAATATTGTTATATAATGTAAATATCGTATTTATTACATTAGCATTGGAAAATCAAATAAAAAGAAAACAAGACTGTAAATATGTTTATATTTTATCATTATATTAAAATAAACAACAGTATATAGAAGCGATATATGTACGTGTTTTCTATGTTGATAAATGATCAATACAATGTTAAAGTCTTCTTCCAGTATCTTGTCGCCACTTGCTACTGAGTAAACATAGTCGATCATTCCGTCATCTTTTTAAGCATATATTCATTGAATTGTTGACCCTAAGAGTCGAATCTTCTGATTTTGCATGACTCGAGTCAGCCTAGGCCTTACCCGTTTTTGCTCTCTAGCTCCAACAACTTTGCTTCAAGTTCTTTTAAGAAAGATCTAAAATAGGAATAGCTAAGACAGTAAATAACTAGACTGGGGAAATTGAACAAGTTCAATTTCAGACTCCAGATGACAGATTTTTTTAAGTTTATAGATTAGATAGATAGAGATTAGATTAGATAGATAGGTAAGGAACATCAATTATCGAATTGATAAATAGATAAATAGATCAATTTTCAATATTTTTTTCAGTACTCTTGACTTTCTAGAAGGATACCATCAGATCGATCTTTCTCGGATTTTCAAAACGTCACAACTTCCTCACCGGAAGTCGAATCGCAATATGGTTTGCAGATTCTGATTCTTGAGAAAATTCTACCCTTATTTCATATCTCACACATTAGATTTGGAGAATTTTTTATTTTGACCTACTTTCCGGACACCATATCTCAGAAACGGGTCAAAATACTTTCTGAGGGCAAAGGCTATCACTATGAACTTAATCTAAGCTATCAATATACCAAATTTCGAAGAATGTTTTGAAAGTATATAGTGTCAGAATTGCAAAAATAAGAAAAAACTATGAATTTGAAATAGATTTTGACCTAGGCATTTTGGTGACCTAATTTTGAATCTAGGTGGCTTTTTGGGTCCCCTTGTTTGAAGGGTTTCATTATATTAATCTATTAAATTATCTATATCTCTGTTTTTACAATTCATAAAAATCTTTTTTTCCCATTGAATTAACATGGGGCACCAAATTTAGCGATTTTTGAGCTTTCAAAACGCAATTACTTCTGAACCGGAGGTGAAATCAAAATTTGGTTTGCAGATTTGGATTCCTGGGAAAATTCTACCCTTAATTCATAACTCATAGGTTAAATTTATAGAACTTTTTGTTTTGACCTACTTTTGGACACCATATCTCAAAAGTGGATCGAAATACTTTCTGACGGCAAAAGGCTAACACTATTAGCAGTAGCACACTATTTGCTACCTGTATACAAATTTTTGAAGCAAATCATTTAAATGTAGTGTCAGAATTGCAAAAATAAGAATAAACTATTTTGACCTAGATTTTGATCTAGGGATCTTGGTGTCCAAATTTTAAAGTTAAGTAGCCTTCAAGGTCCCCTACTTCCATAGGCTTTCATTATTTTAAGCTGTTCTTAGTCTATATCTCGTATTTTACACTTCAAAAAATCATTTTTTTCCCATTGACATAACATGGGGCACAAAATTTAGGGATTTTTAAGCTTTCAAAATGTCATAATTTCCGAACCGGAAGTTGGGTCGAAATTGGATTTGCAGATTCGGATTCCTGAGAAAATTCTATACTTAATTCATAACTCAAACGATAAATTAGGAGAATTTTTTATCTTGACCTACTTTTCGGACACAATTTCTCAAAAGTGGGTCAAAATACTTTCTGATGGCAAAAGGCTAACCCTATTAACACATTCTTGGCTACATGTATTCAAAATTTCGAAGAATATAATTAAAGTGTAGTGTCAGAATCGCAAAAATAAGGAAAAACTTTGAATTTGACCTAGATTTTGACCTAGGCCCTTGACTGGATTTAGACCTAGACTTGACTTGGACCTGGACCAACACTGGACTTGGACCTGGACTGGACCTTGACTTGGACCTGGAAATGGACTACTGGTACTCAATTTTTTTCACTTTTCTTGACTTTCTATAAGGGTACCATCAGATCGATTATTCTGGAACTTTCAAAACGTCATAACTCTTGAACCGGAAGTCAGATTTCAATTCGGTTTTCAGATTCGGAATTCTGAGAAAATTTCCTATAAGGCTGATACCCTGGACATTGAATTGAATTTTTTGGACCTCGTTTTCGGACACTGATATCTGGAAATCGGTTCGATGAATCAAAAATATTGAAGGACGACCGAGATAATGGGAAAAAGTGGCAAAGTACTGGATTTGACCTAGTTCTTGACCTTTGACCTAGATAAAAATTTGACCCCATTTCCCACCAACTAGACATAGTACCTTAATTAACCATACAATAGTCTTCATTGAATACTTTATAGTTGTTGAGAAATCGTCCACAGTATAATAAGAAAGAATAAGAATAAGAATAAAGAAAAGAGGCAAAAACAATAGACTCCAGATTTTCATCTGGAGTCTAATAACAACAACACTCCGTAAGAATGACATCATAACCAATACTATAGATGGCGTGATTTATTTATCTTCAAGCTGTATGGCTTATTGTCTTCCATCCTCCGATCACATGGCTTCAAAATCAAGAATATATTCTTTCTTTTTACCCCCTGCGATAAGCAGTTAGCATTTCCCCGATTAAGAACTCGCAATCTGATTGGCTGTTGCAACACTGCGACAGAAGTCATGTATAAGTCATAGCGCATAATTAGATCACATGATTCAGTTTAATCGGGCTATTTAGATATTAACTGTTTACGTAACAGAGGTGAGGTATTAAATCGACGATTCTAATGTCTTCTGAACTATTTGTTCGCAAACATGTGCATTTTCTTTGACATATGAAACTGATACAAGTTTTTGATAAAAATCTCGTTGGAATTCAACCTACAACTCGTAAAATGAGAAAAAAGAAAGATCGTACCTTCGCAGGTTCCGTCATTTTGTTACCGAAACGAGCGTAATCAAGTGGTGAACCGGTGCTTTAATCCAGTGATATGATTTACACCAATGTACCTGATTTTCTCTAATTTGGCGGCTTCCTGCTCAGCTTTTGCAGTCATCAATATGCTCTCTTGTTTTGCAGTCCCAAACCGTGTGTAGAGGTCGCTCAAATCATCGTCACAAGCTGCATTCGCTTTCCTGAATTGTTTCACCTTGGCCTCGGTTGATTTCACTTTCGCTTCAGCAAGTTTTCGTCTCCTGCCTTCAAAATTAATACCATACGAAAGAGACTGGAAAAAAGCATATTAAATCATTCAATGGACCAGTCTACAATATTGCACATCCTAGAATTTCATTAGAAAAGTGTCGATGCAAATTGAGTTTATATGAAAAAATCTATACTGGTCTAACATTCCGATAAATGTGATTCTTGTTGAAAGTTCAAGAATGTTGTCAAAAGTTGATTGCATGACTTATTGTTTACCGGCATGTTTATTATCCCATCGAAGTAAATAGGGATGTAGATAAGCCATCCGTCGGTTCGTTTGTTCGTCCGTCCGTCTCTGTTCATCAATCCGTCTTTTCGTTCGTTCGTTCGTCCGTTCGTTTGTCTGGACGTTAACTCAAATACGAGTTGACGTATTTGATTCAAATTTATTCAAGTTTATACCTTATGGGTATAGAACCCATGCCGCTCAATACACAATGGCCGCCATTTTTGTAAAAATCTGGTTTCTGATAACTCAAATACCAGTTGACGGATTTGGTTCAAAGTATACATGCTGATGCCATAAAGACACAAAATTCCAGCTTGAGAAGACGTTTAAAGATGGCTGCTGAATTTCAAAATGTCCGCCATTTCCGTAAAAATGTTATCTTTGATAATTCATATGCCAGGTGACTGAGTTGTTTTAATTCATATACTGTTTTAATTCATATGCTGGTGCCTTGGGGACATATGAGTCCTACTCTTGCATTTCAAGATGGCCACTAAACTTCAAAATGGCTGCCATTTTACGTAAAAATGAAATCTTTGATAACTCAAATACCGATTTTCTACATGGCTGCTAAATTTCATACCAGTTGACAGATTTGCTCACATCATGAGTGTGGAATTTGACAAAAGGAGACAGTAGTACTCAATACGTCCTGCTTACTTATCATGTTATTCTCAAAATGACTATTGATTTAATAAATATGTTTTGTTCGGTGGGATTTGCTACTCCGCAGAGTTACCATTTTCTAGTTACGTATTGTTAGACTAAAAAGACGACATGGAGATGGAATTCAAAATTCCAAATACTGACATTAGTAGACTGTTAAGTACAACATACATTATATTTGATCTGACAATCTCTGGACTTTCTAGCGAATAAGGATCTTAATCCGGATCCTCTTGCGCATCTCCTTTCCAACGGGGCGACCTTTTTGGCGATAGTTTTATAATATCTTTCAACACGTTCCAAAATCCTAACCGCAACTTCGTATTCCACAGTTGCCTTTGCCAACATATTAGTTGTACGTCGGTGACATCTATCAAAATTAGCATTTGCTACGGTCACTTCAGCCTCCAGTAAATTGAAGGTTGTCAATGCGTTGTTTGCCTGTGGTGAAACATCCAAAATGTTAATAAAAGGGTGTTGATCTTGAAATAAACCCATATGCATAATTCTGTATAATCTAATTAAAGCTATGAGTTTGAAATTACATAATCATGTAAGTGTACTGTATTATTAGTTATTTAATGATTTGAAGTGCAATACAGGATATATTTTGCTCGAGAAATTCGGTATTGGAACGAGACGAAGTCGAGTGCCAATACAGAGACAGAATATATCCTGTATTGCACTTCAGATCATTCAATAACGTTCTATCGTGTGATACTCTGTATTGGTACTGAGATTGTCCCCTCTGTACCAATATGTTCTGTATTGCGACGGAGATGATCAACGGGGACAATCTCAGTAGCAATACAGACTGGTACAGCACAAGAACTGACCAATCATAAGGCTTCATTTTACAGATCATTCGAAAAATTGGGATGTCATTAATTATTGGCATATTTAAAGCTTTTCATAAACATTTGCATTGAGGTTTGACCAGCACACGCTACGTCTATGTATACACAGACCTGATCATGAAAGACCATTCATAAACAATACAGCTTTAAACTCACGTCAGTTTTTGCCTTTCCCGAACTTCTCTGAGCCATGAATTGCCTCGTTTTCTGTGTTCTGATCATCTCAGTAATTTCTTCAACATTGTCAGGAATTTTCATAGCTATTTAGAAAATCATGTAAAAGCGTATAAATTAAACCTTACACTTAGTAATACATGTACGTGGGCGTGCCCGAAAACAGCATAGCACTGAAATTTGATTACTCCAAAGCAATTAGAGTTCAAGTGCTTGTTATTAGCGTGTTCCTAACATACATTTTAGCTATAACTCCTAATAAATGAAGTAATAACCTTACGTAATGTACTTTAAGTTTTTAGAAAACAAAAGCAAATTTATGAACTCGAAATTGAGCTATACTTTCTCACCATTTGATGTCGAGACAATGATGAAATCAGCAAAAAGTGATGCTAGTAGTGCTGTCTTTAACATCGTCTGAAAAAGGAAATCCATGTATACTATAACACTCCAATTCACATAACCATGTACTCTATTGAATACCCATGACATAACTAAATGTGTTTTATGTTCGTATGACAAAATTGACAAACACCTCTCGATGTACATATGTGGTAATCAATATCATCATAGTATGTAACAATCGTAACCATACATTTTCATTTTATTGAAAAGCACGGAAACTTTCTCTTCTTTCTTCATACTTTTAAAGATATAATTTATTGATCATCGTTTATAGATAGTTGTTTAAATAGTTGTTTTTCAGTAGTTATTTAAGATTACATATATTTGTTGTTGCAGAATTGTTGTGGATGTAGAAAGTAGAGAAGATTGAATCTGTATTGAAAATATCTTCATATATCATTTCATTTTACATCAGTTCTTATTAAAAGATTTATTTATTTCATTTTAAAATTTACTGATGCATTTTCATTCCATTCATTAGTGCATTTAATACATCTAAGTTTATTGGACAACGTTGATATTCATAAAACCTTAATTGTATCGTATATCTGTGAATTCGGCCCCAAAATTAAACCTGCACATCGCTCCAAAACGCAATCTTGGGTTGTTTCGGGGGTGAACTTTATCATTTTGAGCTTAATGAAAGATTATAGAATGATGAACAAATGGGGCAAATCTTGTGTAGAAATACTTACGAAAAATGTGTCATTTCAAAGATTTTTCATTGAATTGCTTCGATCGGCGCCGACGATATGATTTTGGAAAGGTTTCTAAATGAAGAACGTGACGTCACTTCCGAATCATAGCATTCAAAATAAGTAGCTTTTAATTATTTCCACCATTCATAATAAGACGGTGGTGTAGCGGTAGAATTCTCGCTTAGCACGCGGGAGGCCCGGCTCGAATCCCGCATTCGCCTTTTTATTTTTTTAACTAAATGATTGTTCTTTGATATTACGCAGAAAAAAACAATTTTTATTTACATAAACTTTATATTAGAGCTTAAAAATGTAAAAACAATATATGTCAACATATTGCGTTTTGGAGCGATGTGCAGGTTTAACTTTAACTCTTTTTTATTGATTATTCACAATAATTGTAACTATGGTCACATATATCTGAAACAGTTCATAGAGTAAACAATGTAAAATGACACCAATTGTCATTTGTTACAGACACCGACCCCCGAACACGTGGAATTACAAAATAATAGACTGTTTTTGCCAAACACACTTGCAAAATATGTCACTTTAATGACCGAGGAAAACATACTTTTGGCAAAAACGTATTTCAAATGTTTGAAAGAAGAAAACTATATACTGTAAATGAGTAGTGCAATGATAAATGTAACTTTATTCATCTATATCTGCTACATACATGTACCTAGTGAAATCTGTATATTGATAAGTATGTATAAAGTCTCTAGTCTCTCGTAAGCCGGAAACGGCTGGGCATATTCTAAAGCTTTTATTTTAAAAAAACATTAAACATATAGTATGAGACTTTCATAAACTATTTTACTACTACTTACTATTATAATACTACAGTGTACTTACGTAATCCCGTTTCGTGTGTTATAATACTGTATGTTTGTATGACGAATAGCAAGACTTTCTGAAAATAATTAATCTTAAAAGATATTTAGCTCTTAATTTATTGTTATGATGTCAATGTATCGTTTGTATTAGATGATAATGCAAAAAAAAACAATTATACATCGAAAAAGTCATTTTTCTGTGAATGTTCTCAGTAATTTCCCGGGAAACTATTCGGTTCTTATATACCAAACGTCTATCTTAGTAATCCATTGTTTATTTAATTTTGTGCTTTCCATTGAACTTATATTTTAAAACATAACCACCACTAAATTATCCCCAAGGGCTTATATTTGCAAAACTACGTGGTAAACAGTTGAAGCCCCGCTCCATTGAACAGTTTAAAATCAGTTTATCATTTGAATTTTCAAATGAATATTACTCAGGAAAACAGTATGATTGTTGTATATCAGATACTTATGTACACTATTAGCAATTGTTTAAGTGTTATTTATGAGGGTAATACGTTCATTTATTTGTGTGAACTAATATAATGAGTTCAAATATGTTATGTTTTTTTTATTTACAAAATGTATTTATTTATTGATTTTATATTGTATCATAACATTATATTGATTTAGCAATGTCCTGTCTCAACTGTTATATATTTACTGACCGATTAAAGAGCGTAGATGAGTGTATACTTATCGTATCGATGCAGTCATCAGTATACATGTAGAAGGTTTAGAGTGCTTAAATATTCATTTAAGATAGCTCAGTTACAAGCGTATCTTGATTCACAAGGTGTCGGTTGCTCCAACTTTGAACAGCCTGTGTGTTATAACACCTTGGGAGTCGAAGATATTTCAAACGTGAACTTGTTCCAAACTCCGTCTGAAAACTCATTTCGACAGGGACGTGCACTTTAAAACCAGCCATGCTAGTGCGAAGACTGAAATAGCATTATCTCGCGTTTGCTATTGCGTGTGATAGATTGAGCTGGCTTGTACGTTGTCATATTAATTATTATGGGTGGCAAGATATCGCGTCTGTATATTTGAAGAACTTTCTGTAAGTAGTATATTTTCACATTTCCTGTTTAATTTGCCAATGTTTACAAAAGCTATCCTCCAGTTGGAATGATTATAATTGTTACGGCGGTCGCTACCTCGGGTAATACCTCGGGTACGATTTGCCAAACCTCGGCAAAAACGCCATTGAACTGTTGTCTATGGACAGCTATACACTGTAGATGATAGGATACGTCATGCTTGAAGCGAAACGTCGGTGATTGACAACAAAATACTTTCCAGCCTTCAACATTTGTGGTTATTTTATCATAAATGCAAACCGCCAAGAATATTTTAGGGAAAATGTAAGGGACTATCCATCCCCTTTCTAGGGGCACTCCAACCCTCCAACCTTCCTCACATCAGAATTCCCTGTCTAATGGATTTGATTTTTTCGCTGTGCTAGTATCGCTTTTCCTGCCATCGCTACAGAGATCATAGACAAACACTGCTATTAGAGTTAGGACGATGAACAATCCACACAGAATGGCTGCCAAATCTTTAACTTTGATATTTGTGCCACTCACAGCTGCCTCTAAAATCAAATAAAATACAATCAATACTGAGTCGAATTTGTGTTTTTGATGTACTCGTTTAATAAGTATGCCTTTGAAGGCTTCTTTTCTTCTCTATTTTTCGCCCTACACTCCCCTCAAAAGTTTGACAAACGTAGTCAAATATTAGATTACGTATCAAGGCTTGTAAATGTTTGGCGACTTTTGAGGGACAAGATTAAAATTTCAAATACAGGTTACACAAAACCACTAAAGATGATAAAACGTATCAATCAATCGATCGATCATCCATCAATCATTAGAAATAATTAGAGTAAATAGATCTATCTATGATCCTTAAAAGTAATATTTTCATGAACATTACAAAAAGGTATTTTGTGAATGACGAATAAATAAAATAAAATATACGTATGTTTAAAGAGAGTCCGTTACCTAAACCCGAGTCTGCAATGTTACTGATGGTCGTTGTATCCATATTGTCTCTTACTGTTTTACAGAACTAAATACATCGGCTACACATCATGTACATTTATCTAAACAATGTAACTAACTTTAATATATTGTAATATATATCCAAATCCACTGTCTGAAGTTTGTAAAATACACGCACAGGATATCTCGCAGCACAGACCAATATAAAACGTTACGTTTAATACACTAATTATACAGGGTGTTCCAGAGTGAGAGAAACTTACTTTTCGTTGTTTGTAGTGCGGTGGTATAATCTTTGAATGCAATTGTAGCTTGTAAGTATATACATGAAACGGACAGTGTTGTTATATTCCTATTGACTCTCATAATGATTAAATGGAAGTTTAATGAAGGAAAATGGCGAAAACCAGATTACCATTTCTTAATGTCTTTTTGACAAACGGTAAATAACGGATCGAATATACTTATTTTGAACCAATCAGTATTACATTACCATACCAGTGAAACTGTCTTGGTACGGTATATCGAATGCTTAAATCGGTAATTCAGTTCAAACAATCGCATTTTCTGAGAGAGAGTACGTATATCAAAAGGTTTTGTACAGTATATGTTATTCACATTCGCATAAAATGGAACACCCTGTACATATATTGATAAATCATATTCAGAATAAATCCTGGTTTAAATGTAAGATCTTTTAGGCTTGTTATGACTCCAGGAAACAACCGGTTGGACAAGCCAATACCTCGCCAAATACTATTAATGGCGATATTTATCTTTCTCGGTTTTGTTGTATTTGATGTCAATACATGCAATTAAACAATTTGTTTGGACGATAAACATAATCATTTATACAACAACTTATTATTTGCATGTTAGCATTAAATAAATTGGTTTAAGAGAGGACTTTTCATATCGATGCCTTCAAAATCTCTGTTTCAAAGTTTTTCAGTGAAAGCGAAGTTATGAGGAATTTGTGAATTTATGAATCTGGTACACAACGGTGCTATTGCATATTCGTTTACCAGGTTGATTGTCCAGACAGGTGTTATAATCTGGCGCACACGCGCGCTCTGTCTTTCTTCACTATTATAACATTTATGAGGAAAAACATCAAAGTTAACAAATGAGAATTTGCAAATTTGAGTAGCGTATAGATCTAAAATTTATGTGAGGGCAAAATATTTTTCCCTTGGGACCCAATCTGGAGAATTTACCCCCCCCCCCTTATAAAATGAGGTTAATCAGTTCTTACGCTCCAAAAATGAAAAATGATCCCCCTCCCACAAACGCATTCTCCCAGATAAAGATAAGCAGCTATTCAGTTAAAAATATATTGTGTGTGAAAATCTTGAAACTTGGAAATCAACCTACTGCGCCACATTGACCAAATAAGGCGATGACATCCTGTGTTAACTGTTTTTTAAGTCGTAAAAGAAAACAATTAAGCGGATAAAATGCAGATAAGACGCTTGACTAGTAATCTCCTCGTAGAACAACACCGCGTCCATAGGCGGCAAAGGTAGGTTGGGAATGATATTATTTAAAGTTGGACTAAAAAACTATTTTTGCATTAAATTGTTGTCAATCAGTCAACATTACATAAAGGACTGTGTTTCTTTATAGAGTGTTTTCAATAATTGATTTAAGAGGAAAACATTGTTGAATTCAGTTCACCATATCGATACCAATCCTTTACGATAATTGATATTTTTTTGATTCCATGAATTCTGCTATTCTAACACATCCTGTGCCATGTGTATTGATATCAACGACATTATTTGTGTGCTATCGTCAGATCGTGATGTCAACACTATAAGTTATTGAATGATTTGAAGTGCAATACAGGATATATTCTCCTCGAGAAATTCCGTATTGGAACGAGACGTAGTCGAGTGCCAATACAGAATATCGAGACAGAATATATCCTGTATTGCACTTCAAATCATTCAATAACGTTTTTTTCGTGTGGTCCTCTGTATTGCTACTGAGATTGTCCCCTCCGTACCAATATTTTCTGTATTGCGACGGAGATGATCAACGGGGACAACCTCAGTAGCAATACAAATTTGTACAGCACAAGAACTGACCAATCAGAGGGCTTCGTTTTACAGATCATACGATAATATAAGTTATTGGATAATTTGAAGTGCAATACAGAATATATTCTGCTCGAGAAATTCTGTATTGTAACGAGACGAAGTTGAGTGCCAATACAGAATATCGAGACAGAATATATCCTGTATTGCACTTCAAATCATTCAATAACGTTTTTATCGTGTGATCCTCTGTATTGCTACTGAGATTGTCCTCTCCGTACCAATATTTTCTGTATTGCGACGGAGATGACCAGCGGGGACAATCTCAGTAGCAATACAGATTGGTACAGCACAAGAACTGACCAATCAGAGGGCTTCATTTTACAGATCATACGATAAAACTGTTTACCATGACCATGCGATATATATTAAATTGCTTATTATTTCTTAAAAACGGCTTTAATGGTGATTTTTTGTCAAAAATCATTTTGCTGTGAAAACTCGGATAACATAACAAAGTCCATCTTATTTTCTAACAGGTTAATAAAATATGTTTCCGACCATCTCTCAAAAGGGGTTGTTTGATATGTCGTACTCATTAATAAATAACACGTCTTATAATGTCCATATGTTTTTCATCCTCCAACATATTCGAATTCAATTTACTAAATATATAAGCACGAGTGCCAAAGGGAAAGGACTCATCAAATTTCGCTGGCATCAATACACACGACGCAGACTTTAGTAGAACAAATGATTTTGAAATGACTTATCATTATTATCAGGAAAGTTAATCATTAATAAACACCTTTAATTATTGGGTTGTTTTGGCTTATATTACAAGCCAATGAGGTGTGTATTAATGATTAACTCAAAGTCTGTTTGGGACTATATCATTGGATTACTATGGGAAATTCCTCAAAGAGAACATTCTTGGGATTAAGGAAGGGGTACCATTTACACAATTTGAGAAATTATTGGCATACATGAAACCTATTTAAAACAGCATTAATATTATTTAAAAGTGATCGTAATAACGATTCCCAGCCCTCTGAGGTTTGAAACATAACAATACCTGGGTGTTAATCAATAGATAATCCTTGAAAATGAGAAATATTTTTTAGGATTATATGGTGCAATATTTTAGTCAAAAAATGTTTTAAAGTGTATTGATGTTTTTTAGATGAAAAAAACACAAGCAAACTGCGTAAAAAAAGCTCCCCAGATTCATTCTACAAACAGCTGGCGGTTCTTTGAGAATATGATGGATTTGGACCATAAGCTAAATGACGATATAAATGATTTCTAAATAAAGAGGGCAGGTCGATCAATCATCAGAGTTAATTCATACTTCTCTTTAGAGAAAGGTTTATAAAATAAATGCTACAACTGCCATCTTTATATTGGCCCAAAACCTATGATTTACAAGAACGTCAGTACTGAGTCGTAAATCGTGAATGAAAACAGCTTATTTGGTATCATTTGATTGCGACCATGGTATTAAAATAGCATTTACGTCAGTAGGATTTGACATACAATCCCCTTCATTAGTTTGGCAACCTTAGCTCCCTCATTGAACTAAGGCACCTTGCATCCGAGATCTTATTAGTCCCTCTCTTATGTAATGGCGGATTAATCTCACCTTTGGTAAATGTCTCAGATAATCCCTAAGCGGATCGTGAAGATATTCTGCCACACTAGAATCGTCCACTAGCTAGTATTATCTCCGCCAAAAGTTTTGGAAGAGACCTATTAAGGTTCACCATTACATGGAGAGTGGTTCAAAATAAAATGGTATAATTACACTGGCCCTGGGCAAATCATCAATATTAAATTGAAGCTTTTGACATTCTTCGGGCCTTGTATAGGGGTCTATCCTATCTAATGACGAGATACTGTCACTCAATGTAGCAATCAAGTTATACTTTGCATCAGAGGGTCTTTCGATGGATTTAAACAACGTTTTTTGGAATCCCTGTTACCGTATGCCTATATTTTGGCCAGTCCTCGTGACTCGCATTGGAGGCCAGTATCAATCCTTCTAGGTCTTCAAGGTGTTATTTAGGAGGAGCAGTTGGTAGATGAGCTGAAGCTGTTGTTTTGGGTGGGCTGTGGTTATTAATTGCTTAAAGGGCTTGACGTGTTCTCAGGGGAATAATAGGCTTGTAATTCGCTGAAATTTCTCTAGTAATACCAATTATAGGTTTGTGTTTAGGGTTGGCGTTATATCCATGTTTTCCGAGTTTCTCATTTCGTATTTGGTTGATAAAGGCCCCGCGGTCCTCTGTTTTCTCATCACAGATCATGAAGTAGACGGTGGTTATAAAAGAGAGAACGAGTAGCCTCAGGCACCACCTCCGCATCGACCTTGGCCACGTCATTCTTAAGTCTAACTAGACGGAAATGTGCGTAATTGTTATATCTCATTTCTGATGTGCTATAACTATTGCATCGTTTTTGTTCGTATCAATGATATTAACTGTGTTATTTTAACAATAACAATAGATAATCATCATCAATAGGTTTATTTTATGAATAATGTTTTTTAAATAATCGATCAATCGTCATGATATTTTCCAGCTTGTCAATTGATGCAATGTTTGTGAGGAAACATGTAGGTCCTCTGTGTGCAATGTTTTGTCTCCACCCCTGTTCTTGAATAAAGCAAATGTTTATTTGACAAGTTTAAGCATAGTTTTGCAACCACTGGGGTAAATGTTACTCGAGTCTCTAGCTTACAGCTAGACGAAACTTCATTGATTTCGTATGTACTGTGCTACACGCACCTACACGCACCTAGAACTCATTTTTAATAAATTTTATAAATATTTTTAAGAATATTAATCATATTTAGGATGAAGCGTTGCTTGTCTGGATTTAGATATTTCAAAATTTCATTTCGGAGTTTGACACAAGGTGAAATTTTCTCGCTGTAGCTAAAAATGGCTTCCGGTTCTGGACGTGAATAACATTTGAAATTATTCTCGCTTAAAGAAATCAAATATAACAATAGATTCAGACGGGGATGTGAGCTGATGTTCTTCAAATCTATACATAAAGGTATATTTCATATTATTATGCCATATTTACTGTGCGTGTGACACAATGATTTACAATATTCATAATACTAAGGCAGCTCAATCTTCCTCCTCAAAGCCGGAATATAGAGAAGGCTTTGGACCGAAGTAAGGTAAATGGGTTTTCTAGCAACACATCAAAATATATGAGGATTCAAAAGTGTTGAAATTGAATATTTTAACAGTTCAAGACCGCTGTATATTATTGATTAAAGGTTCTTAGTACGAGTGTAGTTGAAATTTTTAGTGGCCTAGTTATTTTCAAATTTTGTTGATAAAATTTACAATCGTGCATATCGAGAATGTTATTTTTAGAGCATTGGAACATGCAATAGAACAAAACAAATCTACTTAAGTAGAATAAGACAAACAATTTATTTAAATCTAGAGATAGATTCAGCGGAGACCACAGCTTATTTGTGAATGAACTGTGAATCAAAATTATTCAAGGCTATCCTTGTGACTGTCCAGCAGACTTATAGATAAATTATTAAAAAAACTGTAAGAGAACAAATTGTGCTTTATAACACATACTGCTGTAGTAATGTGGTAATGAAAATTCATGGTAATGAATAATTAATATTCCTCACTCAATGGACGACCATGTTCCAAAAGGTTTGGTTGTTTGAAATTTCTCGACAGACATAGATAATGACGCAAGCAAAGATATCATATTTTATGAAATAAGTTATGCACAACCATCATACAGTTATTTGATATTTTAGATCAATGCCTATTTAGCCAAAAAGATTGGTGCATTATACAATTTATACATGTCATAACGTTCCTACAAAGTTTATGTTTTGCTGTTCTTTTTGAAATATTGGGCCTGAGAAATATAAATTTTCATAATTTGGGCCTACATGTATGCTTGGTGTCAGTAAGGTCCACCAGACGCTACATAGATGGGAGACTATAATCCCTGAAACTAAGTAAAATGCGTACACTAAAAAATTATGAATGTGAACGTTTACTACTGATTGTTCAAAATAAAGCCTGTTTCTAATCAAAATTTAATTGTAAAATGTCCCATGCTAACATATAGCATAATAGCAGATTTTATGATACATTTTGTCATCCTATAAAGTTTATATTTTGCTGTTCTTTTTGAAATATTGGGCCTGAGAAATATAAATGTTCATAATTTGGGCCTACATGTATGCTTGGTGTCAGTAAGGTCCACCAGAGGCTACATAGATGGGAGACTATAATCCCTGAAACTAAGTAAAATGCGTACACTAAAAAATTATGAATGTGAACGTTTACTACTGATTGTTCAAAATAAAGCCTGTTTCTAATCAAAATTTAATTGTAAAATGTCCCATGCTAACATATAGCATAATAGCAGATTTTATGATACATTTTGTCATCCTATAAAGTTTATATTTTGCTGTTCTTTTTGAAATATTGGGCATGAGAAATATAAATGTTCATAATTTGGGCCTACATGTATGCTTGGTGTCAGTAAGGTCCACCAGAGGCTACATAGATGGGAGACTATAATCCCTGAAACAAAGTAAATGCGTACACTAAAAAATTGTGAATGTGAACGTTTACTACTGATTGTTCAAAATAAAGCCTGTTTCTAATCAAAATTTAATTGTAAAATGTCCCAGCTAACATATAGCATTATAGCAGATTTTATGATACATTTTGTCATCCTAACCCTGTTCCTTCCCGATTCAGATCATTGTAAATCCAATATCCTGTATTTATGGAGGTGACACTTCTGAAAAAAATCAAAAAATTAACATTTAATAATGACTATATATAAAAAAATCAATAACCTCTAGGAACCAGATAGACCATTAAGATATAATAAATAAGACTCTACGGGAGGCGAACAATCCGAAAAAACAAGCATTCAACGTTTTTCTTACCGATGTCTAAACCTGTGAAAAGTGACGTTACAGCCCCTATTGCAGCATCACAGCCACCGACGATAGTCCCTCCAGCAGGCGTAACACTCAAAGTTGCGGAACTTGAAGAAACGGCACAGGAAATATTGATTTCAATGGTTAAACTGCAGCCAGTACAAATTGTGGAAAGTGCCGTTTGTACACCTGTTGTAATTACGGATTCGCTAAGTGCTTGACATGCCGTAAATCCTACCGCACCATCTACCACAAATTTGGCCGTACACGCTTGGCCCACTGTATCTGAAAGAAAAGTATATATTGACTTAAAATGCGATATTAGCCTTTCTATATGAAAATATAACGATAGGCTGACTTTCATCTATGTTTTCAAAAATAGCACTTCTTATCCTCGATGTCGTAAAAATGAAACAAAAATCTGTAAAATGCATCTACAATTTACAAAATGAAATCATATTATTTTACAAGGTGTTTGAACATGTTCATGTATGTATCTGGTCATACGTACCGGTTACTTCATCAGCAGTGAGGCTCAAGGTGAATGCGCTGTACAAATCGGGAAGCACAATAGTGGAGAAGACTGTCTCTAAGAAGTATGTTTCTAAGATTGCAATCTCATTTGCGACGTTTCCATGAATAGTCAAATCTAATTGGATCATGCTGCCATCACCAGCGGCTGAACATTCACCAAGAGAAACGCCTAGAAAATACAATTAACAGCACTGATTAGTAGCTCTACATAGATGTGAGACAGAAAGATGTGCCAAATATCAGAATGAACGTAATCTCCTACATTTTCCCTCCAATATCCTCACGTTACCGCAAATTGCATCCCTCAAGATCAGTCATGTTTCAAAGCAGATCATGTAATGCAATGAAATACTTTTGGGCCAAGGATGGCAAATTCCTGATACGCATGCTTAAACTGACTTACTCATAATGTTGCAGAATCCAGCACACTTGTCAATAACATCACTGTAGGGCAAAGCGGTGCTTACAGCAGTTCGCAGAGCCAACTGGAATGCCGTAAGTTGAGCCTCTCCCAGACAGCTTTCTGTGCTTTTAAGGTAAACCGTGATCACCTTCTCGGTGGGACTTACTCCGAAGGGGGATATGAAGATCAGGTCAAGAGAGAATGCCGACATGATTGTAAAGTAATTATCACGGAGATCTTGCTGCATACTGATTGATACATCGTTCGCCTTCTTTTGTTCAAATGCCATCACGGTGACGTCAATAACGACCTCAGTGGCGCCATCGACGCATGATTCTAACTCTAATGAGAGACGGCATCCTTTACATAATGAACTGATCAATCTGGTTTTAAGAGTTGGGATAACTGTATTGTCAAGTGTGCATGAATCAATAGCAATCTTGAGTTTAAAACCTGCAGCTGCGTCGGGGCAATCTCTAAAATGAAAAAAAAATCGTATAACAGTCGTAGTATGTATTAGAACAGGCAGGCAAGTATATATATCTATATATATATAGTGCAAACCTTTGACTTATCTTCAAAGTAAATGCATACTATCACTGGTACTCACATGTAACGCTGACGATACGTCAGCGTAACAAGATTGAAGAACTTCCGGGTTTCGTTTTCGGTAAGATATTTTTTTGTCGATTCTACACCACTTATAAGTCAAGTTGTGGACAATAAAGTGGTGTAGAATCGAGAAATTAAAAATATCTTACCGAAAACGAAGACCGGGAGTTCTTCCATCTTGTTACGCTGACGTATCGTCAGCGTAACTTGGTGAGTACCAGTGACTATTTAAAATTATAAAGATCAGGCGATTCGATTTCATAACTTACTCGTGTGCAAGGTATCCAACAGAGACTGCATTAAACAATGGAAGAGAATCGAACCCTGCAACAACTGTGTCACTTATGGCAGCCTGAACAGTTGTGTAAATCAGACCCTTGACTGTATCAAAGTGCTCGCTCGGTATGGAGTCGGTGATGGGAACTCTGATCATTAATACGTTTACGTCATCATCACAAGTCACACTCATTTCTCCAAGTGTGAATTCTATATTTACGACTGGTATAGTGCCTTCAAATCCGCTCTTCAATCCATTCAATGTGGTAGTTATCAACCCCAATGCTGTGTCGCCAGGGCAACTTGCCATGTTTAGTCTCACAGTCAGGTAAAGAGGTCCACTGATATCACAAGGACTGAAACAATAATGTAGTATTAATCGTATTGAAATATTTTTACAATGTCAAGCCATTTATATTCACATTATACCATGCACTCTTATTTCTATGCAAGTCTGCACTCGTACAGAGCAAACCGCGCAAATCATGTGATAGCAGCGTTCTATGTTGGAAAGCAGCGCACCCCAAATACAAAAATACGTACTCTTGACAAAATTCAGATTTCGCATTTGTCTCAGCATAAATGATTGCGTTTTCGGCGGTATCTTTAGCCTCGAATCCAAATGCATTACACGTGGCGTAACCTTTACGGCACCATGAATCGCACTTCCCCTGAAAAACAAAATCCATTAAATTTTAATTTAAAATAAATTACAATCATGGCAGTCCAAGCACATTGCGATCTGAATTTTAAGTAAAACCTGTTTATTTTGAATGTGGAAATAAATAAATAAAATATATAAACTATTTTATTTGTGATTCAAATGAGTCATTAATTTTACAATTCCTTCAGAAAGATATGTTTAACCTACTTTCATGAGATCCACTGCACTGCACTGAGAGCCTTTAACAGAACAGTCGTAGTCATAGTCATTGATAGACTCGACAAAGTATTTCATGGCTCGTTGATGGCTGCACAATAAATCTATAAAATAGTTATAGTACATGTATTTGGTGAAAACTTGTCATGGCAAACATTTTGAATCTTTGAGAACCTAAAATTAGAAATCATGTTAAGTTTAATTCCTGATCGTCTAATTTAATGTGGTTCCTCATTGATGTATTTGAGCTCAAAGAAATAATTTACTATTTTAGCGTGTTGTCGGACCGTACACACCCCTCCCCTCCATAAGTTTGACAGCTAAAAGTCCCCTTCTTGATCCCGTATTAAAGCACGTCTGTGTTTGAGGATTTAAATATGATCAAAGTGCTATTATCCTATTAAATAGCATAAAGGAACAAAAGAAAGACGCAAATATTAATAAGCTAAATAACCCGCTATCAAAGGGAGGTTTCAGGTTGCCAAAACTTATAGGGAGGAGTAAAATTATACGCCATTCTGCGTCATTGACATTGAATACAGCACACTTATCAAACGTGATCGAAGTTAACGAGCAAACTTTTCTATTTCTGTAATTGGAAAATATATCAAATTGTCTAAGGGGTTAGCATGGAGCATCCTTATCAAATAGAAAGTTTGGAGTCTGAAATGTACCTGAGCATGACACCTCGTTGCATGGCTTGCTCTCCCATTCAACAATATGACGACCATATCCACACGACCTGAAAAAAAGAGAGATCATTTTACTATGACCGACAACTCTCTATTGGTAATTTATGCTCACTTGAGGACAGGCAAAATTACAGTAGTGTTACCATAGTCCTCGATGCTGTATTTATTTCACTACACTCTCTTATTGTCTTATGACCATTCTATTTAACTTACCAAGACTTTCCATACTGAACGATGTCGAATTCAAAGAAGTCTTTCAGGGGTTTAATTATTGGAGTATTTTTCAGGTCTGTCCAGATAGCGGCCCATAATTTATCAGCTGCTTCCGCAAATGGTACGCTCAGCTTCCCACGCAAACGCATAGACGCCTTTACATCGCCTAAAATGAAACATGCATTGAAGGTTCAAGTGTATAGCTGATGAAAAACTAGCGATATAAAACTGAGTTGCTTATTTAAAGGCAAAAATATTCTAAAATTGGAACATTTTTTTGTTTAGCCTGCTCGCTATCTCTGATTCTCTCTTTAATGTAGCTGTCACACCGTACGTATGGTCAAATCGTTCACCACAGTGTGATTTAGGCAGACGGCAGGGTAACGCATGGATTCACAATGGGCACAGCAAATAGTTCTACAGCAAGATATCCCCCAATGCCAAAATCTCAAAGCTTCTTAGCTAATTCTAAGAAACAGAAAGATTTTAATTCTTTTCTTCAACACTTTTAACGATCATTTATTTTCCTACATGACAAGCGCTATACCTTAGCTTAATCCAGAGTTAAAAATCTTTGTGGAGAGGTTTTATGTTTTTTTATGAATTACAATGAAATATAGTTATAGTAATTATGATCAATTGTTTGCTGTTATAATATGGCTGACTACAACGCTTACCTCCAACACAGCCTATTTTGATGCCAGATGTATAGCAATATGATTTCGTATCGTCCCATCTACTTACACCGCACAAACCAAGGTTGAGGCTTACTTCGGGAAATGCCGCAGCTATTCCTTTTACAGCCGTTGTCAGAGGGTCAAGCAACGCCTGATTACATGTAGTCCCAACTGGCAACTTAATCGTAAGCTCAGCGCGTACCTGACCGCCAGAATTGTAGACACATCTATTCGTTGAAACAAAAGAAAAATCATTAATTTATATTTTAGACGAACATTTAGAATATGTATGGTTAGATTCCGAGATACTAAGTTATCCGATGGCCAAAATATGGCATTTGGGTAAGGGTTATCATTGAGTCATTGAAATGGTTCACTGACCATATTCTACGAAAGAATACCATTTGAAGCTACATTTGCCAAACAATCAGACAGCTGATATGTAACCTTGTAAATGAAATAGGTTTTACCTTGTTTTCTTTTCTAATACAAGACATTATACATGACATTATTTAAAAATAAAAATATAATAAAATCGACAATCAACTTACTGTTGTGGGACTTTTTTACCCCTGCTACACGGGCTGGAATAGAAAATTGGTGATTTATGAGCGAATTATGCATTGCAAATTTTAATTTGGAATAGTGTTTTCATATACATATACAACTTATTGTTGAATTTGAAGTGATGTAAAACTGACACGATATATTGATTGGTTAAATGTTAAACTGTATAAAATGAATAGCATTATTTATGGTTTACATGTTTACTCGAAGAGTTTCACGGCATTGACTGGGAGAGGCTAGAGTTTTGATAGATGATACTCACTGTTGAAGTGGATAGGCCATCACCCTTACTCGATTTTTCCAATCTTGATTAATATTAGCCAGGAAAGTTGATATTTCCATCTGAGTGGACATTTCTGTTTGTTGGTGGGATTCCTTTAGTTCTCCATTCACAATCAACCTTGATGTCACAAGACCCTCGTAACATTCAAATTCAGCCTGGGGCACAGTACAATCACCATCACAGTACTTGCCAAAGTTTGTTTTAAAGTCATTAACGACTTCCTTGATGAGGTCGAGACTGTTGGAGTTTGGACATGACGCCATGTAGATTCGAGTTTCCAGCGCAGATTGTGTTGGCATTAACTGGCATGAATCGCATGGTCTGAAGATTGAAGTTTAAAGAATGATTCGTTTCATAGAAAACATAATATTCACGAGTTCTAATGGGAACACCTAACACAAGGCGGAATCAAATATAGCAAAGAGTAGGCTATTATAAATTGAAAGCTACGTAAAATCCGAAATGAATTTGCTTTATTATTGACCTCGCCACAAATGGGTAATACTTACACTTCTCCATCGACTGATTTGACTTCCAAGGAGACCTCATCTTTTACAACTCCCAATGTCGTCAATATTCCAGTCCCAGTAATACCTGAGAGAAGATCATCTAATTTCTCTTCCACAATATCATTCACGTCTTCAAGTCTTTCAGCAAAGTCAGCATTGATTTCAGCACGTGCACTATAAACCCCTGCCTTACAATCAGTATCAAATGAACCGATTGTGCAGTCGTCACAAAATGCCATGTTATTGTAACTGAATGAGGGTAGGTGTCTTCTAAAGGTATTCAAAAGGGATGTAGCAGCACTGGTGATAGTGGTACCAATAGTGCTGCAGTCTCCAAACTCAACAGCAAACTCCAAATAGTAAGTCGAAGTAACGCATGTCCTATAAAGAATATTCAAATATTTTGTTTTTGAGACTGGAGATATTGCAGTTTAGTTAATTGTAAATCAACATATCTCTCATTATATCTACATTTAGAGTTTAATCTTTCACAACAAAAAGCTGTAAAACTATGCAAAATTTTAGAGAAACGACAGACATCTCTGAAAAGAAAATTGTAAACCTTGCTCTGTTTGTACAGTCTGATTTGGCTGACTTACTCAGATGATTTGGTTGACTTAGACTTGGACTTTGACTTTGACTTTGACTTCGATTTGGACTTGGACTTCGACTTGGACTTTGACTTCGACTTGGACTTTGACTTCGATTTGGACTTGGCCGACTTGCTTGATTTGCCTTCGTTGCAGTCCTTAAATCTCGTCTGGAAGCCAGTGTCACATGATTCTGAGCATGCAGACCACCCCGACCATTCACAATCTTTCGGGATATGAAAATGTTGAATAATTAGTATTTGAGGAGTCTTGGGTTCGATATTCACTGGGGTGGACTGACTTTTTACATCACCCCCGCCCTTAGCACACGATTTCGTTCAGTGTGTTTTCATTAACCAAGGAAAACCATAGAAATATTTTTTTTGAAATTGTTCATTTGTTTATAATCCAATATTTTGCAATCATACAGCTTCTGGCATATAATAAATAATAATAAATAAATTATTAAATTTTGTTACCTTCAACTTCAACTGATTTTGTTTTGGCTGATTTGGACTTGGATTTCGATTTGGACTTCGACTTCGACTTCGACTTCGACTTGGACTTGGACTTGGATTTGCCTTTGGACTTGCTCTTGGATTTACCACCTTTTGGAGCTATTAAACAAGAAAATTGAAAACTTTTCTCGTGTAAAACATATTTGTACAATCTCATTGTGCATTTGTTACAAACATAGTATAACATACATATGTAGTAAACATATAGTATAACATACAACAAAATACAACGCATACATAAAAGCTCTTTTTATTGAAATATCCACTCTATTAGTTTCAAATAACTTCTTAAAACATAGTATATGGCTACAGTACCAGTACGTTTAATAATTCTACAACGTTTTCATACATGTAAATGCAATCAAAATTTTGCAAGAGTGCAAAGGGATTAATCTTGTTTCTGAAACTTTGAAAACGAAAAAGAAATACCCAAATTGTTATTATTTTTATCACAGACTGTTGTGAATACAAAATACTTCAACGAGACACAACACTGTAGAAATCCTACCTCGTTTTCTCCTAGCCGGAAGTGTTTCGTTGTCTTCCTCAGATAACTTACATGTACATCCGGGTTGATCACTGCCTCCATTGACGTAGAAGTCAATGTGACCCAAATGACGGTAGAGACCGAGGCCATTGTCATCAGTATGGTAAACATCAACATATTTAGCATCTGATTTATCGAGGCCTTCTTTGCCATAGAAGTATCTAAATGGGTAAGATGTACAGTCCAGACCTGGAGTAAGAGATGAGCATAATTAAATAGCCGCACAAATCATTGTCTATAGGTTCCAAGCTGTTCCAATCCAATTGATGGATTAAGCCTGGCTTAATCCATCTATGTTGGATTAAGCCAGGCTTCACCATGACATTCACATTTAAACTCAAATAGAATCAATACGCCTTGTAGTTTCAACATGTTAGCCATTTCAAAAATTGAATAAATCCTGCGGATTTATTGATAGGTTGCAATGTTCATATTATTATATGCATTCAGTAAATAATTCATGTAATAATCTGAAGTGAATGTTCCCACACCTTCTGTCCCTCGTCATCACTTTCTCAGTTTAAGATTGCAACATTCTTTGATGTGATATAACACACCTCCTGTCCCTCGTCATCACTTTCTCAGTTTAAAATTGCAACATTCGTTGATTTGATATAACACACCGCTAAAATGAATTAGATCCAGCAACCTTTTCATTCACTACATCATATAGGTAAATTATGTCTTAAATATTATATATAAACTTAAGATGTATCAATCTATAGGAATAAAGAATACTGTACCAGATATTCGCTCCAATTCTGTGTCTTTGCTCTGGCCCATGTATCCGCAAACGTGGCAGCCGAGACCTTCTCCAATACAATGTACCTTACTGTCACCCAAATTGTTCCTCTTTATTTCAGCCAATATTCTACCGACTAGTCTTGCATCGGAGGCACCCTGGAGGTAGTCCTTGGCTCCCCAAGTCACACGAAGAACGTTGACATCTCCCTGGTAATGATCGGTGACAATGTTGTTTATTTGACAATAAATGATATATATTGCTTTTACATTGATCACGTTGAACATGTACATGTATCAAAAGCATCAAATAAAACAAGCCCTATAACCTAATAATAGAAAAGCATCGGTTTAAGTGCTCTTACCGTTTTCAACAATTCCTGTTGCATTTTAGACATCTGCTCATCATCTGTTTCAAGCTCTGAGCCGACCAAGATATAGGTAGGATTATTTGCTTCATAATTCTCTCTTAAATGTAAATGAGCATGTATTACATGTATTTGTATATGTATTTGCTAAAATGTCTCTCAACTACTGTAACATGTAAACGATTTAGGAAGATTTCCTTTCGCTATAGATTCACTATTCCATAAAATATTGGCTGAAGTGTGTGCAACGCAGATAGTTTAGTAAATATATCATTTCGGGATAAGAATAACATATTTGTCAAACATATGGAATGCATATTAAAGTATTTTAATTTTGAACATGTTTTTGAAAACAAAAGTACGTTTGGAATAAAAAATCTTCTAAAAACAATTAAACTTAAAATGCAAAGAAAATATATAGAATATAATGGTGGAGCCATAGAGAAAATAGAAAACTCGGGAATTATATGAAAACTGATATGATATATATGAAACACAATAAAATCTTGAATCTTATTTATGTCTCGGAATATCATAGACGTTCTATATACAAGAAATATCCGCTGGATATAACATTAATAGCATTAAACTGTTAAACTTAACGATAATTTTCTTTGTATTTGATCTTGGCCAAGTTTCCAATGTTATATTGAACTTACGGAATTGTATCCTCGTCCATACATACTCCATCGGAGTCTGCGCCAGTGTGTACTCTAATGTTTACTTTGATGTCAATAGGATTGCGAGGTAAGGGCAGCCATGAGTACGGTTCTTCCTGTCGGTAACAACCAAGGTCCTTAAAACAGACCTCTTCGGAGCTCTTTTCCTCTTTGGAGCCGCTTCCGGATTTACTTTTCCCCCCGCTGCCTTTTTTCGATTTATTTGCGCCCCATCCACGACCCGGATGTCCACTGCTGAACAACGACCAAACTGGATGGATACTTTTTCGGCTGAAAATGTCGAATGCAATATTTTAAGAGTATATTGCATTCACAAAACATATGGTTCATATTTGATTATGTACCATAATGATTATAATTGATGACCCGATTCCAGTTGCAATATTAAGCTAATTTCTTTATGGTATTCGGAAAAAGATTTTTTACTTTTCAATCCATTCCGATTCATGTTCATGATAAGATACAACACATAACATTACGACTAACATTACATCAAGTTGTCGACTTGGCGAAATCCTTCAGATCTCTTCCCAGAGGATCCCTAAAAAAAGCTCGCCGTATATTTCTTGTTTCCCTGATTAATCGTTAGAGTATATACACAGTTCCTATCACCACTATACTACAATGTCAAACAATATGAGCAATTTTAAACTTACTTAACGATGTAATGCATTGTGTCGTAAGCCAAGCAGTTATCATCTGGGTAAAGAAGAAGAAGTTTCACAAAGCCTACTTTTCCTCTCTTAACTCTTCCTTTCTTATTTTTCACTTTGAAACTCAATACCAAGATCATCGGGGGATCTTCTTCTACTACTTTAGTCTCAATTGCAGAGATAACCTGGAAATGTTGCTTGTTTAATTGATTTGCTTATCAAATGCATTTTACAGAAATCAAAATATGAAACACACGATGGCATTTTTCAAACACCGGTTTGTACTTAAACAAACCGTTGTTAATCACCATATCAACACTTTCATAAAATAAAATAGCATTCAACAAGAGGTAAAAATCACTTTTACCTGTTTATCTGTACCAGGGGTACATGAACATGTTCGTTGAACATCACTCATAAAACCCTTAATGCGTTTTGAAATTAAATCATTACATTCCGTTGTTTACATTTCAATTACAGGGTTAACGTACATGTACCTTTTGATTTTTTAAAATTATACTAAATACATTAATATTTATAAAACCTTCAACCGTCTTAGATTGTGTAGTTTAGAGAAACATATTCTCATAAAAATATTCGGCACTCTTAGACGACAGGGGAGAAAATGATCAAAGGAAATATGTAAAATAACACATTTTTCCAACCGACCAATTGCATGGGTAGATTAACAACGAAAAAATATAGCACTGCTCGAAAATCTTTTAACGTAATTAGAAAGGTAAATGTCTTCCAAATCGAATACACACGAAATCAAACATGAGATCCTTTATGTACTCCTCAAATAAATTTTTGAAAACCACAATCAAACCTACATCATAGTTTTCGCTTCAAATCAGTTAATAGTGACATCCCATCCTGCACAAACAAATAAAACTGTAATAATTTTCTAGGACAACCAAAGGATAGGATTTAGAATAGGCGAAAGCCTCTTGTCCGATCCATTTCGTCAAATTGTATTAATATAATGTATGTTAAACATATAGACGAATAAAATATTTTTAATAATAAATAATAGTGACATCGTACACCTAAAGTGTACGACGGTATATCTTGTCACTGTACGTTGTCGATGGTTAGGCATGATATATTGCCCGCAGAAATGACGTTATTGTACTATTCTAATATGATACGTGACGTCACAATAGCTAGAACAATTGATTTACTTAGCAGTTATGTCCCTATCATTGAATATATGCCTGAGGTCTGTCACCAATATAGCCCGAGCTTGCGAGGGTTATTACGACAGACCGAAGGCATATATTCAATGATACGGACATAACTGTTGTATTACATACTTTTATATCATGGCTACGTTATATCAATGACGCCACGTGTCTGTGTGCGAGTGAAATTAGGAAGAAATGAAACATGATATCCCGATGACGTCATAAGATTGTCATGGTAAAAGGTTTGGCGGCTATATAGGAATATATAGCCGACCTTCAGCTCCATTGACTTCAATACAAATGCTTCGCTGGGTACCTACCTAATTGCTTCAAACGTCAACAGTCAGCCAAGTACAGCATGAATATCAAACCCATCGAATGGTTATACTCGAAACGAGTAACTCACACCTCTTATTCCCATTAACATTGGGGAAATCATTAGACGGCTCATTCCCGCCCGCCAGTTTTCCTACTCCAGAGCGTTTCTTTGTTTAGTTTCAGTAATGAAACGCTCCGTCGTACATGTAAGAGCGTTTGGGTAAATAAGTCATACCATTTTATGAAAAGCCGTGACTTGAAAAAATAACAAATGTTGTTACAACTTTTTGAAACTTAAACCATTGAAACCGATTTCACTTGCCGGCGACTGATACTTTAGTCCTTTACGAAACCGAGCATGTCAAATTGGTTCGTTAAAACTCAAAGCTAGTCCACTTGTTAATATGGACTTGCATCAAATTTTTAACCCGTTGAAATCTTTCATTTCCAGATAAAACGAACGGCATAAGCATGCACAACTCATGTAGGGCTATAATATTCGTCGCCTTCGTGTGAAATCGGTTTCGATTATGGGAGTTTCAAAAAGTTATGACATATAAAGTTTTTTCGTTTTTCATGTTTTTAAAAATGTAAACCCTTAGGCTTCATTCTTTTATTCTTATTTCATCGCCAGTGATGTGTTTGGTGTCTATATAAAATGTAGAAGTTCATCAGACATTCGCTTATTGCTCAGATTTCTATGACGTTTAATCTGTCAGATTATGCAGTACTGATGATGATGAAATTACAATTCGCCTTCTAGTTCTATTCGTTTACCAGTAACAGGCTTTTCTAGCTTCATTCTCCTTACGTTTCAGAAATCTCTGATTTTGAACTTTGGAAAATATGTTTCTCAGATAAGAACATCATTATGGCACGCCCTATCGACCCAACTGAACAAAATATGAAGCTTTGTTTATCAAATATTCCCGGGAGTTGAATACTTCATGAACGCGCTGCTACATCATGTACTTTGACATCAAAAAACAAACACCAAGTTTTGAATAATCGAGGGGTGTCATCGAGTGCGGTAATTTCGGTTTGGCCCATAGCTTTAACTTAGAAGAAGGTGTGAGGAAATTTTTAATTCAGTACACTAAGACTTACGTTTTCCACAAATGAGCGTCTCTTAGATCTAACTTTCCATCTAATTGTTAGTATAAAAATCTGGGCTTGACGCTTGCGTCTTTTGGTTGGATTTTCCGCTGCACATGTCAGCTCGCCGTCACTGAGAGAACAATCACCGGTGCCTAATGATCAGCAATTAAAATGAGAAAAGTTAAGTCATGTATCGTTACTGATAGTAAGGTCGTATTGAGTTGGTTTTTACCTCAACTGACCTACTTTTTGATAACTTTTTTATAATCTGAACAAGCACTTTTATTATACTAATCCATTATTGGCTTTCAAATGGAGCAGAGGAGCAACCGACCCTTCATTTTCCCTACCACACTCGCTCGTGTTCTGAGAGAGGTTGCCTACTGTACATTAAGGTGTTGATATTCAAATTCAAATCAACAATTTTAGACTCACAGTCTGAGCCAAGGCTTTCCCCAGCAGCAGAAACCAGGGCATCATTTTCACTTTGTTCAGGACACTGCTCAACTTCATATGAAACGTCAATGGGAGCCTCAAATGTTTCATCTTCGGGAGCCTCTGTAAAATGAAGACCGCATAGCATAACAATAGTAGCTCATCATTATTGTTTTTTTTTTGTTTTTTTAAAAACAGTATATTGCCATAGACTTCTAAAAGTCGCACAACGGGTGGCTCGATTGGTGTGAAAGCATGTTGTTCTTCACTGCACATAATTATGAAACCTTTTTAAGATATAATGTTCATGTAGAAAAGGACATACGTGTGAACGTAAAATGATAATAGTTGGGGAAGGAGTAGGATCCCATGACGTTTTATTTGGAATGATTAATTTTCAACTATTAGTTTATCGATTTTGGTCCAGCGTCATTTTAGCAATAAATATTTAAATTATCCCTAATTGTTATCGTCACTTCATTTTTGTTATAATACATATAAGTATCAAAGTTTTCATAGAATGAATCCCAATGACTGCATTATTACCTTCAGCTGCAGATGCCTTTGTTGTTTGTTCATTCTCATTCCCAGCACCGCCTTCTAAAATTGACCGAAACATCATTAATAACTAGGCATTAGATGGACATCAGACATATTGATCGAAATACTAATTATACGATTGAAAAATAATTCTTTTATGATATATTTTGTATGTTTCTTTAAAATGTAACATTTTGAGACATCGTACATATATTTACCTTCTGTGGATATCTTGGTCGTTATAATCTCTCCTTTAATGAATCTGCCCTTCGATCCTGCCACAACATTGTAGTCATTCACCAAAGGTGTTGGAGGATTATTCGTCTCAACTTTGTCCTTGATTGCCGCGAGTGCCTGGTAAATTAAGTATTAAAAAAATGAAAACTAGAGAGAGATTTTATGCTTCCACCCCCCCCCCCCTCACCCCCTCCACCATGACATATAAGCAACGTACCAATAACATGATTCCAAACGTGTTGGAAATGCATGTTTTATGTATTTTTGTTTACTTTGTATGTTTGACTGAAATAAGTTAGTATTTGAATACATTTCTTCCATTCTATTTTTATTACGTTCAAGGACTGCATTCAAACCTGTTCCAGCGTTCGTTTGACTCTTGACCGTATCATGAAGGTGATGGTTAGAACGTGGGTTGCTCGTTTACGACGTGTACCAGTAGTTGTAGGAGTACAGTCAACGGTGCCATCATTCAGGGAACAGTCTCCCGTACCTGTCATCAATAAGTGACATATTTAAAGATATCGCACGGCACATTTGCCAGTATTAAGGGTTTCTTGAAGATGAAGGGATATTATCTATTAACGATTCAACATGGTAAAATTGTCTGTGTAGGTGGAAACAAATTTCGAGCCTATAAAACACGTTGACCAGACCAAGTCATTCAAACATAAAATATCGAGTATACAGCCAACCGGTCGAGTCAGACATTGAATATTTTGCTGTCTCGGGAAATTGCTCGTGTTAAAATACTGTGCTAATGGCATCTACTTACATGGTGCACCGATTCCATCGAAGGTAGCAGTGACTATATCTGAATGTGCATCAACTACCGGACACCCTGTAGTGTCGTATGACACATTGACCGGTACTTGGTATGTTAAGCCTGGAAAGAAATTCAGCCATCAAACAAGAGTTAGGATGAAACTTTTTATAAATCCAAACCACATTTTTAGGTAAATCCCATAAAATATTTTATAGTCTATTAGATTTGACCGCAACCCCCCCCCCCCCACCTAATATGTGAAACAATGGTTTAAATACTGCCCCGGGTGGTTCTGACACTTTTGGTCGACATCATTGAAAGCCCTTCTTCCCGACTGGATTATTACATTACCTTCAGCAAGAGGTTTTTCTGTCGTTTGTCCATTCCCATTTCCATTCCCAATGTAGTCTTCTAAAAAATACAAGAAACGGTCATCTATTACAAACTATTGGCGTTAGATGCATGGATATCGAATTAACTCACAAATAGAAAAGACTAATATGACGAAGAAAAAGTTGTATTACGATGAGTTCTTAAAAATACTGTAAATCTTGGATTCAGAGAAGCCAAATTTCCCCCTTTGACTTTTATGCGAAACGTTTGCATTCCAGACTGTGCATTCTGCACAAGATAGTTACATAATACATATGGATCAGCGTATACATTGTTCATAGCTAAAGTAACAATAATGACAAATATCATATCATGTACGTATTGTAAATGAGGCTTACCAGCAATCTTAGTCTCCGCTGTGCCAACTACCACAACTGTAAAATGAATAATATATTTTTAAAAAATCATAAAATTTTAGCAGTCCTATTTCTCTTATCTTCTAATTGAAATCAGTGTTGATGACATTGCAGTTATATAACAGAAATAATCGTCGCCGTCAAATATTAATGCTGTTGGGATTGTTAATGGACTTACAGTAGATGCAGAGAGCGATGGCGATGATGGCTAGAGCAGTGAGGACAATGGCTGCCCCGATACAACAACGTCTGTTCTTACTAATAGAAGGACCCGACTTGTCTTCAGCAGGCTTTGTAACAAACACCTGCGGTTGGGACTGCATTGATTTCTTCTCGTCATTAACATAACTATGGTTGTCCTGAGATCCAGCGTACGTGATATTGTCAAAGTATGACCCCGATTTTCCACTTACACTTCCCTGGATGTAGAAGTAAAATATCAAATGATTTCTGTAAACTCAAAATGATTTTCTACATTGCACGAGGTATGTGTTTCCTCATCGAATTTTAATTTACCTTACTATAAAATCAATGTCAACTTAACGTTAAAAAGGTAAATTCAGAAGGGAGCTGAAATTAAACACCATCAATATACCTCAATATATTTCTGTAAATATATTCGAAAAACATTTAAAAGTGCACTTTATTCACTTCTTTCAAACGGTCATATTGACAAAAAATAGTATCCAAGTCTATTGATGGTGTAGGTTATTTCAGGTTACTTTTTATGATCAGCTAGGCACTGAATCCCTTTCATAGAATTACACTGAAACCAAATTCAAGGTCTCAAAAGTTTACATAAATATTCTTTTTTAAACTTTATTCTAAAAGTTTCATTAACATCCAATTCCATATTTTCATGCTATTTTCACATTTTCTTCTTGATAGTTTCAAATAAAACAACAGTATTTGTATATTAGCGCAAAATGAAGGACCTCGGGTGTAAAAACAGTAATTGGTACCCATACACTCCGATTTAGATGTAGATAAAAATATATCTAATCTAATTCACGTTATAAATCTAATAATGTACCATTATAAACCATGTTTTGAAACTTTCACTTTACATAGAGAGACGCCTTCATTCCTTTCCATAAGTTTGGCAACTTACTTACCAAATTCTTACTTCACTTACCAAATTCTGTCCATGTACAAAGCGATTTTCTAAAAAATCATCAAATTTGTCATGAATGCGAACTATTTTGATTAGGAATGGGTTTGATAAAATCCGATAAAAATGTCAAATTGCCAAACTTATAGAGGGTAGAGTATCATTTCACTTGCGAATTTTTCCCTCTTCTTTGACCTGTATATACATCAATGCAATGGCGAGTAAATAGTTTATGAAATAAGATGAACTGACCGCCGTTGAACTAGTTTGCTCTGATCCATTTACTGATACTCTATATGCCTCGTATTTTCTGAAATAGTTATTGTCCTCGAATTCCTTAGAGTATATTCTCGGAGTCTCTCTCCGCTTTGACATCTTAAAGGATTTATCGTTCACTAGTCATTAATGTTTGATACATGTATTTGTATTATTTACGAACTGTAGGAAGAGCACATGAAAGTTCGTCATATGCTCACAAATCGTTGTTGTTAGATGATAGTAGTTTGAGTTATAAACACGTCTAATAACGTAAACAATTTTAATATTGTGTCCACGTACGTAAATGTATAGGACAAAATGCTTATTTAGTTTGCTTCAAAAGAAATGAATGCGCACAGTCTGAATGAATGGGCACTCGGTATCAACGTCCTATTTGTAACGCCCGATATTGTAAAGAGATATTATTCAAATGTCTATTAATGCTTCAAACTTATGAGCGAATATTTTGGATGAAATATGTTTTGCGTAGTTTATAGAATTAATTGGAAGATTTTACAAACATGTCAGTGTGATTTATCTCATAAATTGATGTCATAAAATGCAATATACTTTAATGTGTTCCTTGAGGCGGTCTTGTGAGACGCACAATTAAAATAATCAGGTGTCAGTTAAGTTTCGAGGAAGTAATGAACTATAAAGGTTTTGATCCAAAGAATTATGTTATTTATCAATAGAATCACAAACACAATGCGTCTATTTTGTGATGAAATCTGAGGTACACTAATACCTTTCACATTGATTTAGGTCTCTTATGAGTTCAAAATTTTGCAAAATTAAGGGTAGGGGTAACACGGTAACTGGTCAACTCGTACCCAAGACAAGTCGTACCCAAGACAACTCGTACCCAAGTATATATTTTGTTTTGAATCAAGCATATCATTGGACTGGGAATGTGAATAGATATACGATCGTACATATTATAATTGTAACATACTGTTCAGAATAGTTTAAAGTTTGAAGAAGACTTTTCGGAAGAAATTGATTTAATTTTGTGACATTTTGAGCTGAGTGTCAATTTATATTGACTATTATTTTATATTGATCACAGATTCAGGATTTTCGAGTGAAGAGACATATGTTTATAATCATTTTTCAAAATATTGTATGTTTATGAGTGTTTGGAATAAGTGTCAGATCTAATGTTGTAATTGTATTTATTTATATAAATGTTTGACAAAAAAATGTTGAGAACAAGCGCTTCAAGCACTTCTTTTATTTAATAAAAAATGCTTTACTAATCTATTGAGAAAAAATGTCGTCTAAATTCAAAAAATTTTTGAGGCTTATTTGATTCACATTATAATATGAAAGCATTAAAAACTCAATTTTTCCCCTAATATGCACCCATAATATACTGAAAATAAGCTTGGGTACGAGTTGTCTTGGGTACCAGTCGTCTTGGGTACCAGTTGTATTGGGTACGAGTTGACTAGGAAGCGGTAACACACTACACTTGAAATAATGCTTCGATTTTTCAGATTATTCGGCAAAAACATTTGCTTCAATAGGATAAAGACTGTAATATGGAAAACGGGGGGAAACCTCCTTTAAATAGTTGCATATACAGTACAGCTACACTACAATAAACACATCCTACTTGTCGATGAGACTATGGCAACTTGAGTAACAAAAAATCAAGAAAAATATTCAAGATAACAAGAATTAAGGCCAACTCAAACATCAAAAACTTTGTGAGAAATAGTAATCATACAAAGTTGGGGACTTATTAATTCGTCTCAAATGATGTGGGACATATAAAATCCAGTCTCAAGTCCATACTAGGATCAAAGAGGCCTCCTCGCTTTGCAAGACCACCATTTTAGTCGAAAAAACACAAATGCAAAAATTATCAAGATTATGCTTCGTCATCCGATCTAACTGGGGAAAAAAGTTAACCTTGAGAGCAATTTTTTCACTAAGAATAAAATGTTTTGCAAATCTGCAAATATAAAAAGTACAAGTAATCTACAGCAAACTTAAGAGGCGAGTGCAAGTTGCGTGTACTTTAAATTAAACCTCTGTATTTGTAAGGACAACATGCCAATAGTTGTGTAATTGGATTTAATACTGAACTTTTTTAATAGTTGAATAGATGGGACTCAAAAACTAACAACCCAGAACACCTGATATAAACGGTTCCTTTGAGCAAACACAGTCTAACACCCTGCTTTGGGCTATACAGAAATCTTAAGAAGATTGATCGGGTGTCTATACAAAATCGCGTATCAAATTGAAATAGTTTCAAAATATTTTAAGTTGACAAGAGAATACAATACTTAGGTTGCCGTTGTTTTTTTCATTAGATCTTAATTTACCACAGTGGAGTTCTTACATTATAAATGAATGGTTGTTAAGTGCCCCTGTATAATTCTCCATCAAAGATGTAAATGTACGCTACTCTCATGGGTATCCTCGAAACGCATGGTGACAAACATCCACTCTATACCTTTACTAGAGGTAAAATTAGACGATGTCTGGAACCTTTATCCGGAGAATGTCAAGCTGAGTCAATCCGAGGACAAAACGTCAAGGCCAATTTTTGTGAAATACTATTTTAGTCACGCTACGGGTTTTTACAATTATATTTTCATTATGACATTTGTAAATGAAACTGAAATCTCAGAAAACATGCAGTTCAGAAGGTGACAATGTGGCATGGTTACAATATAAATGCCAAAAGGAAAACGTAGGGTCTCTCAGAGAAAAATTAATTAAGAAATCAATATCATTTCAATTTCAATTTAATCGAAATATTTTGATTCTGAAATATGTTTGCTACCACAATGTTTCATTGTGTGTAAAATTAATAATTTCTGTTCATAAACGTTTGGTAATTGAAACCTTGAAGATTGCATAAAAATCCTCATCATGCGGATATCCCTTTAGGCATTTTAACTCATTTGGATGTTATAAATAAGCAAAAAGAAACGGAATGGTTTATTTAATGTACCTGACAATTGTATTGATGATATAGAAGGCAATATACATAGAATTAGCAAGTTTGTGTTAATAATGGTCTAATTCTTAATTGTAGTGGTTTTCTATTTGAAGAAACCTCGAACATCAACATTAATAAAGCATAAAGTCAAACAACTCCAAAGGCGGTCCACAGAGTTCACGATGTGGTCAATACATGTATAAGCGTAACATTATTTTTCAATGAATAAAAAAAAGAATAAAAAAAAATTTAAAAAAAACTACAACAAACAATAAATCCCAACATAATAATTCAAAACATGCAGTCAACGTACCTTATCCGAAACATCCATTCGGTATGCCATATACCGGTGGTCTGAACTAACAGACATCCTTTATCTTATAGTGTTCCCTTATCTTATTTTACAATTTATCTTTTTCTTAGATGATACTAGAAGGATCTAATAAACGACCCTCTGGTTGGCAATCCGGGGAGAGAATGTGGAAACGATATATGGCAAGTGACGTAAAAGAAAGAGGTATTGTATTGTGTACTATAAAATATGTTGGTGTAAGTTCGGCGAACTTATTTGTGTTTTTGAATCCATTTGTCAATAGTATCTATTGATTCAATTCACCTTTCTTAGCTTTTGAAAATGTTTTCTTTAGTGGTTTTAAAAAACGCACGATTGCTTAAATTGAAATGTTTACCTGTTAGGTATATTGGCAATGAAAAGTTCAATGTTTGCAGCGTGTCGCTATGAGATCTTTTTCGACTTCAATAGGGTTCATCGAGGTCTACGGAACGCCCTTGTTAACTTTTCGTCCTTAGAATAAACAAACACAAAAAAACTTTTTATCAAACCTTGGTAGTTTTAGTATTCTGCATCTCTAAGGAAAACATAAAAACAATAAATGGCACGTAAACGTTCAGATCACATGACACAGTTAAAAGACATACAACTTACAATCCACCGCTCGCAAGGATATAGACAGAGAGAGAGCTACCACCGTAAAGCTACCTGTTTTAGAAAATTATTCTGCTCTACATAGTCTCAAAAATCACTCCGCCATCTATAAAAATTCTGTTTCTAACCAAACTTGTAAATGTTTCCTGATAGATTAGTACTTACCCTATCGAGAATAAACCTTGATTCATTTATCAAACACTAGATGGCGCTGCGACGGGACAGAAAAGGAGAAAGAGCTTTTTATACAGAAAACCAAATAACCAACGGTAACCGCTAGTATCCCTACTCCGGACTATATTCTAATAGTGACACGGTTGAATGATTTTGTGCCAGAAATCTTGTTTTTCTTAAACATAAGAGTGTTTCAAGACTTTTTGTCCAATTTAAGCCCAATCGCACCAATAGAAGAGCTTTTATAGCTGCTTTGTTAACCCCGGGGTCATTTATTTTAGGGCCATGCAGTTTTATACCTAACTGACCATTTTTGCAATAGAAATACTGCTACTCGCTATGGCTTAACAAAAATTCACAATATTTAGCATGTCAAAACGTTTATTCGCACTTCCATAATGTTTATTGCCAAAATCACTGAACCATGAAACAAAAAAATGGTCAAATCTAGTCATTTTTGATCAGAGATTACCCCAAATTAGCCATTATTTAGTGATTAATTTTCAGTAAATGAGCTTCTATATTAAATTATCATATCAGTTTTGCATAGCACTGTTCTTGTTTTAATTACATGCATGTTAGTAACTGTTTTCAGCCATATTTAGTCAGTCTATTGGGTTAAATGTGTCAAATTTGTCATATATTTTCAAGAAAAATTCAGACACAAAGGAAAAAGCTGTATTACATGCTATGATAATGGCTAAATCCTTAAATTCGGTAATAATTTGATAAAAGCCTGTCAACAACCTCTTAAAATCAGCACTAACAGCCCTCTTGTGCTATCCTGTAACAAAATACAGGCCAAAAATGGTCAAAACCTGTGATTTTTAGGTAAAAAATGAAAAATGCTGAATCAGCGAAAATCTAAATTGCTAATTCTTCAGATAATTTGATTTTTCTTAGAGATGCAAGGTACACATTGCTAAGAAAGTGTAATTTTTACAAAAATAACGCTATTTCCCACCCTAGTACTGTCACCACCCTGTTGCTAATAGGGTCAAGATTGCAGTAAAAAATCCCATTGACGACCATTATAACGTTTCATTTCATAATATATTCATGGGCACAGATCTAGCTCAGCGAAACAGTGCCCAGTGTTCATTCTGTTTCTAACCAAACTTGTAAATGTTTCCTGATAGATTAGTACTTACCCTATCGAGAATAAACCTTGATTCATTTATCAAACACTAGATGGCGCTGCGACGGGACAGAAAAGGAGAAAGAGCTTTTTATACAGAAAACCAAATAACCAACGGTAACCGATAGTATCCCTACTCCGGACTATATTCGGAACAATGTTTTGATGAATTACAGCCATCTTGAAAATATATTTTTGGATTATAGAGCTCTTTTGTCTCTAGCCCTAGGTATCAGCACCAAATCCGTCCAGTAGTATTTGAGTCATGAAAGATTATGTTTTTCAAAAAATCCGTTAACTGGTATTTGGGTTATCAAAAATTACATTATTAACAACAAGTGGCGGCCATATTGATAATAGCGGTCATCTTGAAAAGTTCTTCTTGAGCACAGCTCTGTTATCTCTGGGCAAAAATCAAATCTATCCACTGGTATTTGAGTTATCAAAGATAAACATTTTAATTCAATTATCATCTTGAATATTTCTTCTCAAGCAGAGCTTCGGTGTCCCTAGGCATCAGCATATACAATTTGAACCAAATCAGTCCACTGGTATTTGAGTTATCATAGATTACGTTTTTACGAAAAATGGTGGCCATTTTTGGAATTTTGTCTGAGAGCCCCCTTGTCTCTAGGCATCAGCGTATAAGATTTGAACCAAATTTGTCAACTGGTATTTGAGTTATCAAAAATTACGTTCAGAATAGCGGCCATTTTAAAATTTAGCCGCCATCTTGAAAATTCTTTCTCGAGTAGAGCTTTTATGTGCATCAAATCCATTCACTGGTATTTGAGAAATCGCCCGGACATACAAACGGACGAACGAACGAACGAACGGATGGAGAGACTGACGGACGGACGGCTTTCTCTATATCCTCCTCGGAAAAAAATTAATAAATCTTTGGACAGCCTTATAAATATGATATTCCGTCAGCTTCATTTCATTGTCGTTTTCCATTGGGTCGAATAAGTTAAAAACAACAGTACCTTGTGAATCAACGTATTTCTATTTCATACTTTTGAGAGCTATACTCAAGCTATACAATATGAACATCAATGGTCGTGTCACTACCCTCAAAATGCAATCCAAGTACATTGGTATTGACTTACAAATTTATTGACTTAAGAAAAACATAAACATTTCAGCAGACTGAATACCCCGGCCCAAGTCAGCTGCCCAAGTCTAAACCACACACTAAGAAACTCCCTAAACACGAATTCGCAGATAAAACATCCAATACCATCCTGACGACGGCCATGGCCATCTACTACTTAACAAAATGAAATCACGATACGAGATGTTGATGACGAATACATTTACAACGACATCTATAAAAAGGAGATAACCTTCAAACCTCATTGTCAGACAGAACCAAATATACATGACCAATGTCAGATCTGATTATAATGTACCGATCATATTTGATGCTGTCGCATTCAGTATGTTCCCGCGTCTCAAGTTTTATTCAGTAAAAGACTATCCTGCACGCAGAGTCTGGTCATACATTACAAGATGAAGCTCGCTTTTAAGAAGCGAAGTTGAACGAATGCAAGGGATAGTAAAAGACCCACTGACCGTGTTGTCTGGGCAGTAGGGACGAGAAAAGTCTCATCCTCTACAAGTCATTGAGACTTCTTCACAAATGAATCGTATTCCGATCACCCTGGTCTGATCGCCAGGTTTTTAAATCGTACACCAACCACTTTAATATTTTGCAGTCTTAAATAACATTTACTCGTTTTCCTATTTAAGTAATGCATAATGTCATTATTTTATCAAAATCAGAGCACTTTTACACTTTTTAAATACCCTGCACTCTATTAAACTTATACTGTTTGTGGGTTCGATGCCCACTGAGGTGAATTGACTTCAAGTAGGATTTCATCCGTGTTTTTATTAACCAATACTTTTCCCTAAGGGGGGATTGCCCGTTGAAAAGTCCACTTGATATTATAAATAGAATGATTGACAACCTGGAAAGACATGTAAATCTAATATGGGGTCCAGAAAACAGGATCTATGTTATGCATGGCTGAAATGTTTATGTGGAAGCCTCGGCCGGTAGCTCAGCACTCGCCCGGAAAACGTGGGGTCGAGGTTTCGATTCCCACTAGGGTGGACTTACTTTTCACATCATTCCTAAGCACAGTATTTCATTCTGTGTTTCCATTTTACTGTTTAGTTTGCACTCTATCAAAATTATACTGTTACACCCATTGCCCATTGACAATCCTCTTAACCTATGAAAGAATCCCACACCAACGCATTTAACGACGTTTCAACGATGTTATAAATTGAGTCGTTGGCCGAAAGTTTATGAGTTAAACGTACAAGTACTTCGTATGATCAGGGCATGGTGGACACAAAATACAAGATCAAATGAGATTCGTGATCTTGAACATATGGTTTACTGTCTCAATATGGGCGTCTTTTAATAAACTCTTATTTCATGCACATCAGAGGCGCAAAGTCAAGAGACTCACTCTAAGTTGCCAAGTATTTATTTAGCAGTAATATATTCGCCTCTTGAAGAAATCATATAGACGTATGACCATTGAATCACAATCACGATCCTAATTACTTTTTATAAACTTGGTTTTATTGTTCTTGGTTTACTTTTGTTCTCGAGTCGACCTTGTTGGCGTTTCTTTTATACAGCTGGTGTTTTAAAAACGTTTGGGATTTTGGGAACTTTGTCTAGAGCAAGCCACGACTGTGTTGTGGAATGGATGTAACGGCGCTGGACAACCCAGCGTATAGTCATCTTTCTCTTGATGATAAAAAGGAATATTTGAAATACAGGTATAGTGATTGTAATTTTTTCAATTGACCATGTGAATTAGCTACCAACGATTACTGCAGATATACCCCCTATGATTGGCAAAATACTATTTTTGGACCTAATTTTATGGGCTTCTATCTTCTGAATTTTCAATCCGGGTCTGATGATATTCATTTTGGCCATCTTTGACTGAAAGGAATTGTGTTTGATTAGGATCTTCTGTGTCATTCCAGAACCAGCCAACAGAAGAGCCTTGATGATGTTAAATTCGACACAAAATCAGATACCAGTGACCCACCATTCTCTGAGCCAGGGAGCGAAGAGGCTTTCGCATATTCGTATTCCAAGGACTTGATATCCAGACGACGGACGAAACGAGTACTATGTGTAGTAGTGGTGCTTGCGGTGATCGTCGCTGCGGCGGTTATCGGAGCTGTGGCTTACGGTATGTAGAGTCGGATATAAAACTCATTTATTTTGTTAGGGATGAAATAAATTTTAAGTTAATATACGTCAATACATAATTTCGTAATACGTTAAGTAATGCCTCAGTCGCATTTGATCCACGGCCTTCGTACGGCGGCCATAGCTTCCCAAAATCGAGAGAAGTGTTCAGTATAAAATACGGGGATAAACAGTGGATTATTTATATCGATTTTGTGGAGCCGTATACGGCTGGCGTAAAGCAAATGTGACTGAGGTTAAAGGTATCTATGGCGATATGGCAAGTGATTCGAGATTTTAATTTTGCATACATGATTAGTGTTCTTACATTGTAGTTATATATAGCGATGTAGCCTCCAAGAACAGTGGATCGGAGAGTCTGCCGCAGGTCGCACCAGGTATGATCGAAAAACATTTATTTTCCATATTAATCATCCATTATAAGCGGAAACATTAAAGGCACTTGCACCTTGTTACTTATAAAAGTTAGTTCTTGTTTTTAGAGAATATGACCTACTATGTACCTATAAGAGTGGATTACAACGTATCCAACTGTCCGGATGCCGAAGACGAAGAAAAATTTGTAAATGACTATGTTGAGAAGGAACTGGCACCTGCATGTGTCAAGGGTGATTGTCGAATTGGAAATGTCAAGTCAGACTGTACTCAAACGGACACAGGTAAAGCAAGGCGAAGGCGCGCACTCAACAACAACCTTGGAATCGAGTGTGGCGTCGTTGGTAAAGACAAAGATGGCGTTAGTCAAATCGCTGATGACATCCAGCAGAAAATAGACACAGCTGAGTCCACGTTGGATTGGCTCCAGGAACAAGATTACGGGATCAACGTCGATGGTTCATCGGGTTCTTGTGCGGTATCTGACCCAGTTCTGGTGCCAGAGGATGAAATAGATTATGTGGATCAGATCGTCGTAACGGAGGAACCGCCCAACACAGGTTAGATATAAGCACAATGTTGCAACCTGGATATGCCTTTTGACTTTTTCTTAAAATTAATATTACACTAAACAATTGACTAAACACCTTTCGTGGAAAAATACGTAGCAGTCAGAAGTGCCATAGAAATCTACGTTTTAAACTCGTAAGAGCTGAATGAATAATTTTAACAAGATTAAAAGCAATGGGGCGATTAAAAGAGTGAAATATAAAAATCGGAGAGGGATTTTCAAACCCTGTAAGCCATCTATACTTGAAATAAAAAAGTTAGATGAAAAATTACTTGGTAAATAAATGAAAAATCAATTAATACTGCGGCAAATTTGCACACGTGTATCTAGGCATGAATAAATTAAAATCTTTTTTTATTTCAACTGATTTGTATTTGAGTTTGGTTTTATTAAGTTTACTTTAACTAGATCATCGTTGGTTCTTGTCTCTATCAATATCAAAAATTGATTAAAGCAAAATGTGATCAGTCGATTGCATTTAATAGTTTATGGCGTACTGTGTGCAGATTGAGTTTAAAGCATATCGATAGATACATAAAATGTACACTAATCTTTGCTTTACAGGCTGTCAAGTGATTTTATTTGTATTTCATTAATTGTTTGAATAAACAATAAAATCAGTTTTTTTGCGGAATGCCATGTCGAGTATGATGATATGCGTAAATCATTCTTTCCAAACTCCAATTTGTCCAACTTGTCCCAATGTGCTGATGAGATCATTTAAATGATATTTATCAATAAGATCGCGGCAGTCACGAAATCATCCACAATCCTCGATGGACAATTAAATGAATAAATGTTTAAGTGGGGGTGGTCATGTTACATGTTATTTCAGGCCAGGGGAAGTTATAACTGTTTTATTAATCATAATGTGTTCCGATCGAAAACGATGTCATGTTCTTTACATTAGGCCATAAGAAGTAGATTTTTTGTTTTGCGTCTTGGCAAAATCCAAATCATGCAAGGGTACAATGAAAAAAACACAAACTCAAGAAAAAACACAAACTTGTTTGATGAGAAATGTATACACTTCATGGGCATAGAAGGGATGATATACCAATTTGTAGTGATTACAAACACATATCTATACATTTTATACAATATATTTAAACATATTGTTATTATTCAAGGGAAAAAAATAAGAAAAAACACAATGTATGCCAAGTTATCAATAACACAGTCAATATTGACGCATGTCAAATTATACGCCATTTTGTCTAATTCTGATTGAACGAAAACCGATGGTACTTTCAGACCCTTGTGATTGCTATTTGAATGTGTTTGTTTTTTCTGATTTACTAAAAATCATGGAAACAAGGGGACGCAAAACAAAGAATCTTCTTCTTAAGGCCTTACGTTAATAAGACAATAGTAAGAAAATTATTTAAGGAATTTCTACTTTAAATACATTTTACTCATATATTATTAAAATGTACTTTTTCTATCATTTTAGAATGTCTTGGTGTTATCGTGGATTGGTATATTCCCGATGTTATGGACGACACGAAATATTACCAATGTGTAGACGGGATGACAATACAAAGAGAGTGTGCCCCTGGATCTTGTGTTCCGCTTGATTTCGTCGCTGGAGAGAATCTTCCATGCTCAGTGACCTGTGGTCAAATTCCAGTTACAGACTCAACAGAAAGCCCAGAAGTAACTGATTCGCCTGAAAGACCAGATACAACAGAGTCGCCTGAAAGTCCACAAGTAACTGAATCGATTGAAAGTCCGGAAGTAACAGAGTCCCCTGAAACTTCAGAAGTAACTGAGTCGCCTGAAAGTCTAGAAGTAACTGAGTCGTCAGAAAGTCAAGAGAGTACAGATTCGCCAGAAAATGGTATGATTATTGGATGGAAGAAATACGCACGTGCTTTTAAAACGTTAAGATTTAATTTTCAATTGTCTAAATCATATTTTTAGATTGTTTGGGAGTATCTGGAAATTGGTTTATCAAAGATATTTTCGACAATACAAAATTCTATCAATGTGAGTATGGGTTACCTGTCCATAGGGATTGTGCTCCGGGAAGTTGCGTACCCTTGTTCTTCGTCGCAGGGGAGGAGAATCCATGTACTGAGATATGTGATCAAGTCCCTGTGACTGATTTACCAGAAAGTCCAGAAAGTACAGATGCACCAATAAGCTCAGAAAGTACAGCTTCCCCGGGAAGTCCAGAAAGTACTGATTCGCCAGAAAGCACTGAAAGTACAGAATCACCAGAAAATGGTATAAATGGGTACCGTTTAAAAATAGTGCAAAATACTAAAAATGTAATATTTTTACAAACATACGCATGCGCTTTATACACGTTTAGATTTCATTTCATCAATTTATCTAAATTATTTTATAGAATGTTTGGGCGTAACCGAAAACTGGTTTCTCAAAGATTTATTTGACAATACTAAATTCTATCAATGTGAGTATGGGTTACCTGTCCATAGGGATTGTGCTCCGGGAAGTTGCGTACCCTTGTTCTTCGTCGCAGGGGAGGAGAATCCATGTACTGAGATATGTGATCAAGTTCCAGTGACTGATTCACCAGAGAGTCCAGAGAGTACTAATCCTCCGGAAAGTCCAGAAAGTACTGATTCACCTGAAAGCACAGGATCACCAGAAAATGGTATGATTGAATGAAATAAAATAAAATATCATTCATTTTTTTAATTATATTATATTTTCATATTGATAAAACTGCTTCAGATTGTTTAAATTTTATTTCACCTACTTTGATAAATTATATCAACAGATTGTTTGGGAGTAACTGGAAACTGGTTTCTAAAAGATATATTCGACAATACTAAATTCTATCAATGTGACAATGGGTTACCTGTCCATAGGGATTGTGCCCCTGGAAGTTGCGTGTCCTTTTTCTTTGTCGCTGGAGAGGAGAATCCATGTACTGAGATATGTGATCAAGTCCCTGTGACTAATTCACCGGAAAGTTCGGAGAGCACAGATTCACCAGAAAGTCCAGAAAGTACAAATTCTCCAGAAAGCCTCGAGACCACAGAATCATCAGAAAATGGTATCAATGTTGGATATATGAATTAACAATTATCATTACAAGCTCTTTATTTTGATATTTTGATTTCACACAATTTACAACACACTTTAGGTTGTTTGGGAGTAACTGGAAACTGGTTTCTCAAAGACGTATTCGACAATACTAAATTCTATCAGTGTGACAATGGGTTACCTGTCCATAGGGATTGTGCCCCTGGAAGTTGTGTGCCTTTCTTCTATGTCGCAGGGGATGAGAATCCATGTACTGAGATATGTGATCAAGTCCCTGTGACTGATTCACCAGAAAGTCCAGAAAGTACGGATTCACCAGAAAGTACAGATTCCCCAGAAAGCCCCGAGAGCACTGAATCACCAGAAAATGGTATGGATATTGGAAAGTATTAAATAACCATTATTATAACAAACTCTTTATTTTGATATTTGATTATAGATTATTACATATTGAAGGTTGTTTGGGAGTAACTGGAAACTGGTTCCTCAAAGACGTATTCGACAATACTAAATTCTACCAATGTGACAATGGGTTACCTGTCCATAAAGATTGTGCCCCTGGAAGTTGTGTACCCTTGTTCTTTGTCGCTGGAGAGGAGAATCCATGTACTGAGATATGTGATCAAGTCTCTGTGACTGATTCACCAGAAAGTCCAGAAAGTACAGATTCACCAGAAAGTTCAGAAAGTACCGATTCACCTGAGAGTCCAGAGAGCACAGAATCACCAAACGGTACAAATATTGTATGAACTTAAAAAAAAAATTTTTATTATAGAGGGCACAACATTACCCGATAATTGTAAAATATTGGATAAAACAAAATAACCATTTTACTACTAGCTCATTATTTTGATCACGTGTAAATTGTGACATATGTTTTAGGTTGTTTGGGAGTTACTGGAAACTGGTTTCTCAAAGACATTTTTGACAATACCAAATTCTACCAATGTGACAATGGTTTACCTGTCCATAGGGATTGTGCCCCTGGAAGTTGTGTGCCTTTCTTCTATGTCGCAGGGGAAGAGAATCCATGTACTGAGATATGCGATCAAGTCCCTGTGACTGATTCACCAGAAAGTTCAGAAAGTACAGATTCACCAGAAAGTACAGATTCCCCAGAAAGCCCCGAGAGCACTGAATCACCAGAAAATGGTATGGATATTGGAGAGTATTAAATAACCATTATTATAACAAACTCTTTATTTTGATATTTGATTATAGATTATTACATATTGAAGGTTGTTTGGGAGTAACTGGAAACTGGTTCCTCAAAGACGTATTCGACAATACTAAATTCTACCAATGTGACAATGGGTTACCTGTCCATAAGGATTGTGCCCCTGGAAGTTGCGTACCCTTGTTCTTTGTCGCTGGAGAGGAGAATCCATGTACTGAGATATGTGATCAAGTCCCTGTGACTGATTCACCAGAAAGTCTAGAAAGTACAGATTCACCAGAAAGTTCAGAAAGTACCGATTCGCCTGAGAGTCCAGAGAGCACAGAATCACCAAACGGTACAAATATTGTATGAACTTAAAAATAAACATTTTTATTATAGAGGGCACAACATTACCCGATAATTGTAAAATACTGGATAAAACAAAATAACCATTTTACTACTAGCTCATTATTTTGATCACGTGTAAATTGTAACATATGTTTTAGGTTGTTTGGGAGTTACTGGAAACTGGTTTCTCAAAGACATTTTTTACAATACCAAATTCTACCAATGTGACAATGGGTTACCTGTCCATAGGGATTGTGCCCCTGGAAGTTGTGTGCCTTTCTTTTATGTCGCAGGGGAGGAGAATCCATGTACTGAGATATGTGATCAAGTCCCTGTGACTGATTCACCAGAAAGTTCCGAGAGCACAGATTCACCAGAAAGTCCAGAGAGCACGGAATCGCCAGAAAATGGTACATCTATTTAAAGTACATCATTGATATTCTACAGGGCGTTCAATAAGTACTGATAAAAATGCTGTAACTTTTTTAATTTTTATATTTCTGACTAACTTTTCTACTGTGCATTGTTGAGTAGTGTACTGATATGTACTGTGAGAGTTACAAGAATGTACTCTCACAGGAAGGTGGTACTTGATGGAGCCTAAGGTGGTTCGTCGAAGTTCATGTCTGCACGAATTTTTTGTCAAAATAACCGACCTAAAATGTGAATATTTTCATACATAATTTTATTTTTGAATCCATTTGACAGTTGGTAAATTAACATGGTACTAAGATACCTTGGTAACACCTATTGATGACATCAACGAGCAAACTGTAAGGTGGAAATGATACCATGAAGCAATTCATAAGAATACAATTACATATCACAAGGATCCCATGATATCACAGAGCAATTTAAGATCAGATGATCAATTTAAGATTCATCACACGGACTCGGCAGAAATCATTATGAAAAACATGACTGCTGAACAGAATATCAAAAATATAGAGCATCAAATTAAAAGCAGCACCAAGTTCTATATACTCCAAGGGTAAATCAAAATACGACACAATAAATGACATTCATGAAGCTTATGGAAAGGAAACTATATCTACCCCTGCCAAATATCGTTGGTACCTATATTTCAAAGAGGGAGAAAGTCAGATGAAGATGAACCCAGACAGGGGTGACCAAGGGCTGTGACTTCCCCTCGTCAGATTAATACAATAAAAAAAATATTGGCTGAATTCCTATCGGAAAATTTGCAGTCATAGCTGATTCAAGTGTTGGTGACAAATTGGTCATTTTGAAAAATTTTCGTGCATACCTGATCCACCACTAACCACTTTTGGCTCAACCCAGCACCACTTTCCTTGTATGAAAAAAAAGTTGTAGCATTTTTTATCAGTATTTATTGAAGTATTACATACTTTTGATTTCATGTAAATTATCTTATATTATACATTTTAGATTGTTTGGGAATAACTGGAAACTGGTTTCTCAAAGACATTTTTGACAATACCAAATTCTACCAATGTGACAATGGGTTACCTGTCCATAGGGATTGTGCCCCTGGAAGTTGTGTGCCTTTCTTCTATGTCGCAGGGGAAGAGAATCCATGTACTGAGATATGCGATCAAGTCCCTGTGACTGATTCACCAGAAAGTTCAGAAAGTACAGATTCACCAGAGAGTTTAGAAAGTACTGATTCACCTGAGAGTCCAGAGAGCACAGAATCACCAAATGGTACAAATATTGTATGAACTTAAAAATATACATTTTGTATAGAGAACACGGGATAACCTGAAAATGGTAGATATTGGATAAAACATAATAACCATTTTACTCCTTTACTTTACTTTACTACTTACTCATTATTTTGATTGCATGTAAATTATAACATATGCTTTAGGTTGTTTGGGAGTTACTGGAAACTGGTTTCTCAAAGATATTTTCGACAATACTAAATTCTATCAGTGTGACAATGGTTTACCTGTCCATAGGGATTGTGCCCCTGGAAGTTGTGTGCCTTTCTTCTATGTCGCAGGGGAGGAGAATCCATGTACTGAGATATGTGATCAAGTCCCTGTGACTGATTCACCCGAAAGTTCAGAGAGCATAGATTCACCAGAAAGTCCAGAGAGCACGGAATCACCAACAAATGGTATAGATTTGGATAATATTAGTTAAACATTTTCATTTCAAACTCTTCATTTTGATTGTAAATTATTACATATTTTTTAGGTTGTTATTTTGATTGCATGTAAATTATAACATATGCTTTAGGTTGTTTGGGAGTTACTGGAAACTGGTTTCTCAAAGATATATTCGACAATACTAAATTCTATCAGTGTGACAATGGTTTACCTGTCCATAGGGATTGTGCCCCTGGAAGTTGTGTACCTTTCTTCTATGTCGCAGGGGAAGAGAATCCATGTACTGAGATATGTGATAAAGTTCCTGTGACTGATTCACCAGAAAGTTCAGAAAGTACGGATTCACCAGAAAGTTCAGAAAGTACCGATTCCCCAGGAAGTCCAGAGAGCACAGAATCACCAAATGGTAGAAATATTAGATGAAATTGAAATAACATTTCTTACTCTACATACTCCATTTGATTTTATATAAATTATTTTATGTTTTAGGTTGTTTTGGGGTTATTGGAAACTGGTTTCTCAAAGACATATTCGACAATACTAAATTCTATCAGTGTGATAATGGGTTACCGGTGCATAAAGATTGCGCTCCTGGGGCATGTGTCCCAAGAGACTACGTTGCTGGTAGGGAAAATCCATGTTCTCTTCACTGTGACCAAATTCCAGTAACTGCTTCACCAGAAAGTTCAGAGAGAACGGATTCACCAGGAAGCCCAGAGAGCACAGAGTCGCCAGAAAACGGTATGGAAATGAATGATACAATAATCATTTTCCATTACGATCTAAACACTATGCTTTGCTTTCATATACATTATTATGCATTTTAGATTGCTTGGGAATAACTGGACACTGGTTTCTCAAAGATATTTTCGACAATACCAAATTCTACCAATGTGACAATGGAATACCTGTCCATAGGGATTGTGCCCCTGGAAGTTGTGTGCCTTTCTTCTATGTCGCAGGGGAAGAGAATCCATGTACTGAGATATGTGATCAAGTCCCTGTGACTGATTCACCAGAAAGTTCAGAAAGTACAGATTCACCGGAAAGTTCAGAGAGTACTGATTCACCGGAAAGTTCAGAGAGTACTGATTCACCAGAAAGTACTGAAAAACCTGGAAGTACAAACGGTGAGTCATTTTCTATCACTGCATGCATAATTTGTCCAAAATACAAAAATACATAAAAAATAGTAATAAACAGGAATATTGAAGCTACAAAAGTAAACAAATGTCAATACCACATCAACAATGATAGTCGTTCAAAGAATTTCAAATGGTCCGCTTCCTACAAAATTAAGAAATCATTGGCTTATTATATTCCGCAAACCTTGGGACGTTTTAATTGTCTTACAAGTTTGTTTCTGACATCTTTTAGATTGAAATTGTTATAATTGTCATTTTCCTCATGATTATCGACGCTTTGCTCTTAATGTTTTGCAGATTGTTTTGGAATCACTATAGATTGGTATTTGCAAGATTTCTTGGACAACACTAAATTCTACCAATGCGCTCATGGAAATCCTGTCCATAAAGATTGTGCTCCTGGGACATGTGTTCCGAGAGACTATATCGCTGGAAGGGAGAATCCATGTTCTCTTCATTGTGACCAAATTCCAGTAACTGATTCTCCGGAGAGTCCAGAAAGTACTGATTCACCAGGAAGCTCTGAAAGTACTGATTCACCAGAAAGCTCAGAAAGTACTGATTCACCAGAGAACAACGGAGGTTATTAACTACTAAATTTAGACTAAATCAAATAAACTCACACTGTACATTGCTGAAGCAACAAAGAAACCTTGAACTTTCAATTTTGTAATATAAACATATTTTTGAATTCCAGATTGTTTTGGAATCACAATAGATTGGTACTTGCAAGACTTCTTGGACAACACCAAATTCTACCAATGCGCTCATGGAAAACCCGTCCATAAAGACTGTGCTCCTGGGACATGTGTTCCGAGAGACTATATCGCTGGAAGAGAGAATCCATGTTCTCTACATTGTGACCAAATTCCAGTAACTGATTCTCCGGAGAGTCCAGAAAGTACCGATTCACCAGGAAGCTCTGAAAGTACTGATTCACCAGAAAGCTCAGAGAGTACTGATTCACCAGAGAGCAACGGAGGTTATTAACTACGAAATCTAGACAAATCAAATAAACTCACACTGTACATTGCTGAAGCAACAAAGAAACCTTGAACTTTCAATTTTGTAATATAAACATATTTTTGAATTCCAGATTGTTTTGGAATCACAATAGATTGGTACTTGCAAGATTTCTTGGACAACACCAAATTCTACCAATGCGCTCATGGAAATCCTGTCCATAAAGATTGTGCTCCTGGGACATGTGTTCCGAGAGACTATATCGCTGGAAGAGAGAATCCATGTTCTCTACATTGTGACCAAATTCCAGTAACTGATTCTCCGGAGAGTCCAGCAAGTACCGATTCACCAGGAAGCTCTGAAAGTACTGATTCACCAGAAAGCTCAGAGAGTACCGATTCGCCAGAGAGTAATGGAGGTTATTAACTACGAAATCTAGACTAAATCAAATAAACTCACACTCTACATTGCCGAAGCAACAAAGAAACCTTGAACTTTCAATTTTGTAATATAAACAAATTTTTGAATTCCAGATTGTTTTGGAATCACAATAGATTGGTACTTGCAAGATTTCTTGGACAACACCAAATTCTACCAATGCGCGCATGGAAAACCCGTCCATAAAGATTGTGCTCCTGGGACATGTGTTCCGAGAGATTATATCGCTGGAAGAGAGAATCCATGTTCTCTACATTGTGACCAAATTCCAGTAACTGATTCTCCGGAGAGTCCAGAAAGTACTGATTCACCAGGAAGCTCTGAAAGTACTGATTCACCAGAAAGTGAAGAAAGCACTGATTCACCAGGAAGTGAAGAAAGCACAGAAAGACCGGAGAGTGGAGAGAAAACTAAACCTGTTTACCCAGATAAATGCCTGTCATTCCAGAAAGAAAATGAAGGGTAAGGCCACTACACTTTTCGTGAAATATTTTATTTTGGATTATGGCGACGGTTTTGTGTATGAATCTTTACCTTTTGATATGCTTATGGACTTCGAGGTTGGATTTTGTCGACTGTCCCTCATCATTTGTGACTGAATGCCTTATGAATAAATGTATGAATACTATTCTAGTATCCAATTATTTTTGACTGATGTTTTGAGTATTGGCTATCAATTTTGGGGAGGAGGGGTAATTAGACACTGATTCGTTTCACAATGTATTGTGATTATGGATTCTCGATATCTAATTTCCTTATGACTGGTGTACTCTTGGATGTTTTCCTATCCTTGCTGTGTTCTGTAACCATTTTTGTTTTTTCCCAGTTTGCACTTGCACTTACATATTTACACATAGTCCATTTGTCATTTTCTTAACGTATGAATATTTAAAAACATGATGTTTATCTCTGTGCAAATACTATCGTTAGGGTTTATTGGAGTGATTTAGATGGGTTGCCCAAAAATTAACGTTGAGGAAATTTTTTGTATCTATCACCATGGTAACATACCAGGTACATGGTGGTATCCCGACGCTAAGTCAATAGTCAACGCCATGTTAAGCCAATGCACCCCTCCCTAATTAGCCGATATACTTTTTTCCCCAAACTAACTTTTTGTCCAACCTGGTTAAATCACTTCAGAAAACCCTTGTTATTATAAATAAACCATAAAACATCGTGTTTTTAACAATTCATAGGTTCATTATAGTATAGTACAGGGGTGACAAATGGACTAACACGTCAGATTACTAAATTGAACGATGTTAAATGTTTCTTGAAACTGTTCAACAGTTACATCCGATGATACTGTGAAATGTTAAGATTTTAAAATGCACACAAATGGTACTTTGCAACAGTTACTACTAACAAAACAAATCAAATATTGTGCAAACCAAAAGAATCAGTGCTCGAAACCTCTGCATGACATACGAAATTAACATCTGAATCAAAGGTGGAAAGCTACATCGATTGTAATCGTTAACAACCTTATAAATTACGATCTGATCTATTTTATTTTATTTTAGAAAGCGTAGTTCTAAAGAATCGGGTAGTAGTTCTAGTAGCTCAAGCAGTAGCTCTAGTAGTAGCTCGAGTAGTTCCAGCAGTAGCTCGAGTAGTTCCAGTGACTCCAGTGACGGAGAGAAAGACGATCAACCCGAAGAAGAACAATGTTACAGAGGTCTTGGTTGCTTCCACCCAGGTAGAATAGCTGGTTCGCGATGTGGAGTACCACTTTATCCTCGTTCCCCAGAGAAGTTTTGGTTCAATCTCAGAGGCTTTAGCAGATACTCCAAGGGACCTGAATGTGCTGATGAATTCAACTACGGGTGAGACTGCTTATTTTAAAATTCTATGGTCTCATATTTTGTCATGTTTCAAAAACAGTCATGATTGATATTTACAGAGTGTTTGGAGAAATTTGATGTTTTTATGCCTATATCATCATTTCTCTCTTAATACATAGTAATATGAATCTTCTTACTTTTTAGACCAACATTCGATGCTAATAAACCAATCATCTTCTTGGTTGGCTCAGAACTTGAGGCTGGGGCGGCCTGGCAAGTTCAAGCTCGTCTGGAATTCTTACGAAAGGTACCTGACATAACAGCCTTTGCTTGCATTAAAGTATCATCCAGCTAGCGAATTCAACTAACGACGAATGCCTGTTAATTAGACTGCGATTTTAAATAAGGATAGTATCTGCTATGCATCTCGATGGCTACTAGATATCTCGTATAACCCGATTTATTTGAACTTCAAAATTTATTTATGTAGATTATCAATGTTCTCAGCCGGTAGTTAATACCAGGGAACGCTAGCTTGAATTGTTAAACCACAGTCTATTTTATACACTGCAGTTGAAGTTCATAAGTTATATCAATTAAAAAGATATGATGTGGTTTATATAACAAGCTTAGATGAAAGAAATCAAAACAACGCTCCGAATTTCTTTGATGATCTTTGCAACTAGGTCTTTTGTCAACAATATTCGTTTTACAATGTAGATAAATGCCTACGTATTCGAAGTCAGTTGGAAAACAAGTGGAAGTTATCTCCAAGACTCTGCAGATGCTAAAATACTGGGTGCCATGTTGAATTACATTATCGATGAGAATCTTCTCGCCGGACGGCAAAGCGCCACAAGGACGTATTGTGTGGGATATGGCATCGGTGCTCATATTTGTGGTTTCGCTGGAAAGAGGGGGACCTTAGGTAGAATCACAGGTGAACTATTTTCTCTATATGAATATGGCATAGCAATAACTCTTACACCCCCCCCCCCATCATATAGGCCTTATATATGAAGTATGCCTTTGACAGCAAATAACAAAGGCGATAAACAAAAAGAGAACATATCGACTTATTCTTGCAGGGCTTGACCCGTATGGACCCACATTTAGCGAGTGTACATGGGAGAATCGATTGGACAAAGGCGATGCTGATATGGTAGACATCATTCATACAGATGGAAAGAATGGAATCTGGACTGATATTGGTAAGATTTTACCTATAATAAACCGATTTGTCTGTGTTCATTGTTTACAGTTTGCAAAGTAGTTTTATTTAATCAATACATCAATTTTTGGATTTACATAGCTACACACGATTATATCATGTATTTATTAAGATGACAAGATGTAAAACTGTTTTTTAAAAAAAGGTGAAAAGAAACAGAAAAAATGTTAAACAGTGCAATTGTTTTACAGCTTGTTTGATATAGGGCGACTGGATGCTTATAATAAGAATTACTGTATATGTTTTTCTAGGTGATATCGACTTCTATCCCAATCAGGGTATCGAACAACCTGGTTGTGAAGAAGTACAACCAACAAGACCACCAAGTGGTGATCGCGATGACGTCACTCGACCAACACGCCCTAGTGATGGACAACGCCCTTCTGACAAAGACGGAGACAAACGTATTAAGAGAGCTACAGATGGTAACGTTACTCAATATACTTTCATTATAAGTTGTCCATGTAATAATTTCCCTTTCCAATATATGAGCCTCGCCATAGGAAAACCGGTCTTATCACAAAAAAATTAAATTGTGCTACAGAGCCAAAAATGTGGCTCATATATTCATTTCAATATCATTTTAGGTTCAACAATGAATCCATAAGAAACGGATTATCAATTACTATCTGTGGAAAAAAAATTCACTAAACCAATTTATGTTTCAGATGATTGCGAAGACTTGTGCGAAACAACCACAGGTATGACACTATTCTATCAAAAATATACATTGCGGTTAAGAGAAACGTAGTCAATATTTGCATTTATATTGAATTTATTACCTATTACTTTAACATTTCTCCTTTAATGTTACTATGTTGGTCCTCTTGTTGGTCATTAATATTTATTTTACACCCTCGTAAAATATGTTACAAGTGACCCAAATATGTCTGCACTTTAACGTATACCCAGTGAAGTTAAGCATAATTTAGGGCAATAGCGCCACCTGTACCCTAAACAAAGATATCAGACAATTTTCATATGGATACGGTAACGGACGAGAAACGTACACAAAAAATTAATAAGAATAGAACCACAATTTTTCCAAGTCGTATCTGTATAGTACTTGAATGACATCCTTATTAACGTTGCTATGGTAACAATATCTATGTTTCAGAATGTACTGGCATAAGCACTGAATGGTACATCCAGGATTCTAACGATAACACCAAGTTTTATCAATGTGACCAAGAACAACCAGTCCACATGGATTGTGCACCGGGATCTTGTGTCCCCTCAGACTTTGTAGCTGGCGTTGAGAATCCATGTAGTGAGAGATGTGACGGTGCCGTTGTAACTAACCCACCAAGACCAACGACAGATCCACCAAAACCAGTCACTTTCCCGCCAAGACCATCCACAGAAAAACCAAACAGTAAGAGTTACAAAAATGATGACGACGAACTCTTTATCTGTATATAAGCGTATATTATTACCACCTTGCCGGGCCAGTTCTAGGGGTTTTAGTGCTAGTTTAGAAGGCGTTCATTTTACTATATCGACCTGAGACCGAGGGCCGATTGTACTATTGACAATGTATTGAAAGTGTTTCGAGTTCAATTGTTATCTGTTTCGGTCCATTCTGTATGAGTCAAGTAATTCACGTAACTTCACCAATTTTTCATTTCAGAATGTACTGGTAAAATAGAAAATTGGTTTATACAAGATCTAGACGACAATACTAAATTCTTCCAATGTGAGCACGGAGAACCTTTGCGTAGGGATTGTGCAGCTGGATCATGCGTGCCTCAAGATTTTGGGGAAGGCGCAGACAACCCTTGTACTGAGAGGTGCGATGGATGTATCGGGGAATGCACTGTGACGACAGGTAGACTACTAATATCGACCCTGTTTTTCGAATACGAACGTTTGCATTGTTACAAAATATGCAATTCCAAATAAAGGGGAACCCCCGAACTCATATTATAGAGCTTAATAATGACAAATCAGATCCAGCAATTACCAACGATGATATGTACTGTATATGTTCTGTTTTCTCTTTTCGTTTCAGAATGCACTGGTGTTGTTGGGAACTTTTTCCTCCCTGATCCCGAAGATAACACTAAATTCTACCAGTGTGCACATGGAAAGCCTGTCCATCGTGATTGTGGACCAGGATCATGTGTACCAAAAGATTACCTAGCTGGTCTAGAGAATCCATGTAGCGAACTATGTGAAGCCCCAACCACAAAGAAACCAGAGACGAGGCCTCCTGTTACAGATGCACCTGAAACTCAGCCACCACAAACGAGACCACCTCCAACAAATCCACCAAAGACAAGACCGCCAACGACTAAGCGTCCAGAAACCCGGCCTCCACAGACTCGACCCCCTCAAACAGAGCGCCCAGAAACTCGACCTCCTCCAACACGACCTCCAATAACAAGACCAGGTAAAAAAGTGTTTTCTGATATAAGTCAAGATAGGTGCATGTATAATTATCAATGCATACGCGTATATCTAGACCAATGTATCTTACAAACAGTCCTTCTCTTTCAGAATGCGATACGTGGTCATCATGGAGCGACTGCAGCGCATCGTGCGATGGAGGAGTCAGGAAGAGATTCAGACAGTGCAAACCTGAGTTTAAACCGGATAGCATTGAAAGCGCTTCAAGCAGCTCATGTAGCTCCAGTAGCTCGAGTAGTTCTAGTAGCTCAAGTAGTTCAAGCAGCTCGAGTAGTTCTAGTAGCTCAAGTAGTTCAAGCAGCTCGAGTAGTTCTGGTAGTTCCCGTAGTTCTAGTGAATCATCTGAGGAAAATGAAACTCGTCCACCAACAACTCGCCGTCCTAAGACCCGCCCTCCAACAACAAAACCACCTCCAACTAAGCCACCTACTACACGACAACCTCCAACAACAAGACCACCGACTACCACTCGTAAACTGACTACTCGACCTACAGTCATAACAACCACGAAAAGTAAAATATTTCATATTGACTTTATTCAACTAAGCTTTGACATTTTGTAAATTGTTACCCGATGTTTTCTAGCTATTTGAGAAAGATACAGATTTTATTCATTTCGAAATTTACCCATTTCAATTATTACCCGATGTTTTCTAGCTATTTTAGAAAGATGCTAATTTTATTCATTTCAATTTGAGTGATTAAATTAACCCATTTCAATTGTAGAGGATTGTGGCTATGACGACTGTTCGACAATTATAGGTAAATCTATTTTGCTAGTAAAATTATGAAAATTATATTTCTTTAAAAGGCATTGTATATTATTTCAAGATAATGGAATGAAACTTCCCAGATTCCATATATAAGCATCGCCTTGGGGATTTCAGAATTGGAAGAAAGAGCTTCATGTACACATTCCAATTTGTTAGCAATGTTTTATAGAAAAGATAAGGGGCTGTATAGTACATATGTTTGTTTTATTCTTTTTAATTCATGTCGATGTAATTGTAAAGTTGAAACTCTTATCCCTAAATTGGGTGGAGAGAAATCTTACTATGTAATTCAAAGAAATAACTCAAAAATAAGAACACGATTATATGCATACAAATAGTAATGAATAAGATTGAATTCATCATGATTGTGCCAATAACGAACATTTATATCTTTGCGCATTTTTTTTTATCCTTGCTATAGAAAATAAAAAACTCAGGGCCGTATGTAGAGAGGGTTCGGGGATTCGTGCGACCCCCCCCCCCATCTTGACTAAAAGATTCGAACACACCGTTTCCAGAAATTATGCGAACTCCCGAAATTTTGAGTTAATTTTTGAAGTATTTCAGAAATTTATCGTTTTTTGATTACCTTAGTTAGATATTCGAGGTGTGCAAAGATGGAAATAAATGAGATGTATAACTTTATCCTTCACTTAGTGTACTAAATGTTTAATAACATTAAAAATAAATTGATATTAATTATTGGCAAAATGAATAACCGGAGGATGTCGTGATGATATACTTCGGGCGGAGGATATCGTGACGATATACTCCGGAAAACCCAATATGCGGAGGATATTGTGACGATATACTCTGCTTGTTGATTTCCCGCCAAATTGACTCTATTTGGCATGAAATTCATTTTGCAATGATATTACACTCCTTGTAACCTTGTAGGATAATAAGGACATCCTATGATTTTTCAGAATATCATTTTAATCTACTCGTTTGCTTTGCTCTCTCGTGCTGATATCAATATCACCTCGTAGGTAAAAATGATATTCCTCAAAATCATAGGATATCCTATAATTATCTTGAGTAAAATGACTGAGAAAACGATTTATTTTGAGATGGGCGATTAAGTTTGCACTTCGCATTTTAGGGGTAAATCAGAGAATTTTGAGCATGTGAAAGTTCAGTGATGTACTGCACGTGGTGCACCAAAGTCCTGAACGCTAGAAACTCTATTTTTGGTCAGGAGTCATTTTCAAAATTGTTTCCTTTCACTGGAACTCACATTTTTGCTGATCTTTTGCCTCCTATATATTTGAAGAGCACATTGTGCAAGTAATGGAAATAAAAGACAATTGAATTACACAATCTATATTTGAATTAAATTCGGGGGAGTCTATGTCTGATGATGCCCTTGAGCTATTTATTTTGGATTTATTTTTCTGACCTATCCAGAAAGTGGTAAAAACATGGGGATTTTAACAGGCCTTTGCTGAAAAAAGTTCTAGATCTTTGCCCTTAAATGTTCCAAATGAACGGAATTGGTCAAAAATTGGGATATTTCACTTGTCTTACGATTTTGCGATTGTCTGACAAAGGTAAAACTTCCAGCAAACCGGTAAAAAAATCTTAAAATGGACCAAAATGAAGCAAAGGCAAATTTTAACCTAATTTGGTATTTAATCAAATTAAGCAGTGATTAAGCACATTTGAAAGGGTTTTCACCAAATTCACCATCAGGTGGCTCTTAAAAAGATTTGCCGAAAATATTCGAACCCCCTCCTGTCAAATGCAAATTCAAATTGTTAATGTCAAACTAGGAAAGTAGCACAAAAAGCAAAGCATAATTAGTTGCATGTGCTTTCGTACTTTCATCAAAACTATCTGCTTGAAGCATCATGAAGCGAAGCATCATGACAATATTCATTTTGTATTCATGTTTGTAACACTGAGTAGCAATACTCAGACATGTAATATGACCTCGACTATTATCAACTCAAATTATTCATTTCCAATTTGTTTATTGTTTTTCATCAAGAATGTTCTGGCTCAATCGGGATGGATTTCTTTGTACCAGACGCGAATGACAATACAAAATACTATACGTGCCGCGAGAATCGGCCAGTAAATCTCGACTGCCCAGCTGGTCTATGTGTTCCTGATGACTTCACCCTAGGTTTTGAGAACCCTTGTACGGAACGGTGCAGTGTTGTAACAGCACGACCAACTCCTAAACAAACTTCAAAGCCTACCAACGCACCCACAGAACCGCCACAGACTGTCACATCAATCATGGAAAGTAAGAATTTTCTCAGTATAACGGTTTTTATCCAAATGTATCCGTGCATACTGAGCGAGAGGTTGAGCGAAAGGTCTTATTACTACAAATACAGAATACACGTTAAAAAACTTATCTCACTACTTTACAGCCATTATTTACATTCATTACATTATATTTCATCTTAATCATTGAATTTTCAGATCAGTGCTTCGGGACAATAGGGCAGTGGTTCATTCAGGATTTCTTCGACAATACTAAATACTGGGAGTGCGTAGATCAACGTCCACACCACCGAGATTGTGCACCTAAGTCTTGCGTGCCTGGCGACTATGGTGCTGGTTTCAACAACCCTTGCACAGAACATTGTGGGGCCACTTCAGAACCAGATGAACCATCAGAGGAAGAGGATTGCTCAGGTAGCAAGAATACTAAAGGATGTAGCAAAGAGAGCAGTAAAGAGTCTAGCAAAGAGAGCAGTAAAGAGTGTGGAAGTAAAGGAAGCAAAGGGTGCAGCAAAGAGAGCAGCAAAGAGAGTAGCAAAGAGAGCAGTAAAGAGTGCGGCAGTAAAGGAAGCAAAGGGTGCAGCAAAGAGAGCAGTAAAGAGAGTAGCAAAGAAACCAGTAAAGAGTCCAGCAAAGAGACCAGTGACGAGTGCGGCTCTAAAGGTAGCAAAGGGTGCAGCAAAGAGAGTAGTAAAGGAGACAGTAAAGAGAGCAGCAAAGGAGACAGTAAAGAAAGTAGTAAAGGTTCAAAGGAAGGCAAGGGAAGGCGAAGAAGGGGAACACAAAAATCTAAGGAAAGTGGATCTAAAGGTGGCTCGAAGGAAAGTGGATCTAAAGGGGGTTCAAAGGAAAGTGGATCTAAAGGGGGCTCAAAGGAAAGTGGATCTAAAGGGGGCTCAAAGGAAAGTGGATCTAAAGGGGGCTCAAAGGAAAGTGGATCTAAAGAGGGCTCGAAGGAAAGTGGATCTAAAGGGGGCTCAAAGGAAAGTGGATCTAAAGGAGGTTCGAAGGAAAGTGGATCTAAAGAGGGCTCGAAGGAAAGTGGATCTAAAGGGGGCTCGAAGGAAAGTGGATCTAAAGGGGGCTCAAAGGAAAGTGGATCTAAAGGAGGTTCAAAGGAAAGTGGATCTAAGGAAAGTGGCTCGAAAGAAAGTGGATCTAAAGGGGGCTCAAAGGAATGTGGATCTAAAGCGGGCTCAAAGGAATGTGGATCTAAAGGGGGCTCAAAGGAAAGTGGATCTAAAGGGGGCTCAAAGGAAAGTGGATCTAAAGGAGGTTCAAAGGAAAGTGGATCTAAAGGGGGTTCGAAGGAAAGTGGATCTAAAGGGGGCTCGAAGGAAAGTGGATCTAAGGAAAGTGGCTCGAAAGAAAGTGGATCTAAAGGGGACTCAAAGGAAAGTGGATCTAAAGGCGGCTCAAAGGAAAGTGGATCTAAAGGGGGCTCAAAGGAAAGTGGATCTAAAGGGAACTCAAAGGAAAGTGGATCTAAAGGCGGCTCAAAGGAAAGTGGATCTAAAGGGGGCTCAAAGGAAAGTGGATCTAAAGGCGGCTCAAAGGAAAGTGGATCTAAAGGGGCCTCGAAGGAAAGTGGATCTAAGGAAAGTGGATCCAAAGGTACCTCGAAGGAAAGTGGGTCTAAAGGAAGTGAATCGAAGGAAAGTGGATCTAAAAGTGACAGCAGTAGATACTCTGACACCTCCAATTCGGAATCTTCTGAAGAGAGTGGTCCATCCAAGACAACCGAATGGCAGTTTGAGCGATGTAATGTGGATAGTTGTGATGGTAAGCGATGCCCCAATAATACCATTTATCTTTTTTTATCGCACTTTGAAAAAGTGCTTTATTGTCGTCGTCTTGTGCTGTTGGGCGGGCGTGCGGGCGTGCGGGCGTGCGGGCGGGCGGGCGGGCGGCACATAAACCAAATCTTGTCATCAAATTTCCAGGATAACTGATTATTAGGTTAAGGGCATGCTGGGTAAACTACGTGGCGGCCATTTTGAATTTTTCAACAAATCTTGTCATCAAAATTCCAGGAAAACCACTTATCCGTTCAACTTGAAATTTTTACAGATGCAAGAGCAGACTATTGCCAAGATCTGATTAGGTTTTGGGTATGCTGGCTGAATTACATGGTGGCCATTTTGAATTTTTCAATTTGGCGGCCCTTTTGAATTTTTCAACTTGCTCCAAATTGACAATTTTTTTTAAAAAACATCTACAAGTTCTCAGAAGTTCAAATCTGACCTTAGATTTCAGATTTGACCTTTCGTTCACCTTCAGTGACCTTGAAAAGGTCAAAAAAGTTGATTTTCGAAATTGATATTTTGGATTTAAATTTAGGTCAGCTTAATTACAAAACACCTACTGAGGTCTGAAAAAGTAAAATTTTCGAGGTCGAAGGTCAAGGTCATTAAACTAGGTCACAAATGATGTTATCCAAGTTTCTCAAAGTTTGAGACTACAAATCAATTTTTGTCATCAAAATTCCAAGAAAACCGCTCACCTGTTCCACTTGAAATTTTTACACATGCAATTGCAGACTAGTGCCAAGATCTGATTAGGTTTAGGGCATGCTGGGTAAATTACGTGGCGGCCATTTTGAATTTTTAAACAAATCTTGTCATCAAAATTCCAGGAAAACCACTTATCCGTTCAACTTGAAATTTTTACAGATGCAAGAGCAGATTATTGCCAAGATCTGATTAGGTTTTGGGTATGCTGGCTGAATAACATGGTGGCCATTTTGAATTTTTCAATTTGGCGGCCATTTTGAATTTTTCAACTTGCTCCAAATTGACCAAATTTTTTTTTTAAAACATCTACAAGTTCTCAGAAGTTCAAATCTGACCTTAGATTTCAGATTTGACCTTTCGTTGACCTTCAGTGACCTTGAAAAGGTCAAAAATTTGATTTTCTAAATTGACATTTTGGATTTAAAAGGTCAGCTTAATTACAAAGGACCTACTGAGGTCTGAAAAAGTGAAATTTTCAAGGTCGAAGGTCATCAAATTAGGTCACAAACAATGTTATCTAAATTTTCCCAAAGTTCAAGACTACAAATAAATTCTTGTCATCAAAATTGCAGGAAAACCGCTAACCTTGTCAACTTGAAATGTTTACAGATGCAAGAGCAGACTAGTACCAAGGTCTGATTAGGTTTTGGTCATGCTGGGTAAATTGCATGGTGGCCAGTTTGCTCTTCAAAGTGCGATATTTATCACTGTGTGTCTTGTTCAGTCCCAGATTGCTCATAGACTAAAATGCATGGATATGTTGTAATTTAATTAAGGTCACTGCATCTAAACAACAACATCACAATGTGTACATGTATAATATTTCAAATTTTAGATGATATTCATATGATTATTATCCACAAACTATAACGCAGTAAATGATAGTTTGTTCTTTTTCTTTATAGCTATTTTATGCAACCACAGAAGAGCCATTGACTACTTTGTTGAGTCGATAAACTCTGATTGCATTTTCGAATCAATCCAGTGTAGTTTGGAAGATGTACGAGCCGTAAGTTTCACAAGTTTCATTTCTACAGTTTGGACCATGAATAAATGAGAAGTCGATTTTTTTCACCATTACCAAACCAAGGTGGTTTGAAAGTCCATAGCTTCCAATTATGCATATATCCTAAAATTTGTATATTTTGCATTTTGTATACTCTCATTCACTGATGTATGGTCTCTTGAAAATTCTCCTATTTTCAACATGGGAAATCCATGCTTCAGCAAATCCATGACTCTTTTATTTATGGTCCAAACTGTGTATAGTATCACAAAGCATAAAACAAACAAAATAATCCAAGTCTATAAAACTGTTTATTTAAATAGAGTCAACCACACTTGCTCAAAGTATACCCAATTCTAGCAAATTATCTTCGTGTCATTAAGGTATTTGCCATTGGAACCATTGCCATATTTGTTATATTCAATTTAACTTCTTACTCTATTCAAAAGGGAAACTGCCAAAGTGACTCTGGTGAAAGTGTGGCAGGTCCACCAATGGGCTATAACACAGAGCGAGTACGCTCCAGATTGAACACATTCTATGTCGAAACAAATGCTAGTCCAAGATACTGTATTCAGCCACCTCCACCTATGAATGTAACAGTCGACATTTCATATGAAACAGACATCGACGGATGCCCTGATCCTGAAAAACAACGCTGCTTTCTAGGGAACTTCCATAGTCTGGTTGACAGCATAGGAATCCCAGACATTTGCACATGTAAATCCGATGTACAGTATTTGTGTAATCGAGCATATGAGTTCGATATTTCATTGACAATATCCGGCAGCAAGATTGACAGGGAGACATTCAGGATTGTTGATATGGTCAAGGATGCTGTGAAGGGGGCAGTTGGATTTGATTGTGACTTCATAAAAGCCGTATCCATAATTGGGGATGAACCTGAGTGAGTAGAGTTTCCGCACTTTTGGTGACCGTATTATCAACCAATCAAATGGTAGAACTAATATCATTAAAAGCGTCAATTTAAAAATTCCAAGGTGCAATGCTTATCAATTGTCATGGTATTTGGACCAATACTAACGAAATACCAGACCCATTCATCTTATTTACTGAACACCAGTATATTTAGACACAAGTGATAAGGACAAAAAGGACAACCAAAATACACAGATAAAAAAAGTAGATAACCCCCAACACCCTAAACAATTATCTAATGAATATCTATATTTTGAAATCACTTGTCTTATATGAATCTCATTTCTGTCACAATTTAATTCGAATATGAAACTGTGACTCGTCATGAACACATATTCACTGGTACCACACTCTTAAAACTAGTTACCGAAACGTTTCGGTGACAGAATGTTGTCCTCCAAGAGTCCTGCTATATTTTGAGAAATCAATGAGAAAGAAAAATCTCACCGAAATTTCCAACCGGAGCCGTAGTAAACAGAAAAAGCATAATCAAGAGCAGTACCGGTGCTATTGCTGAAGTAAAATTGAGAGCTGGTGTCTTTCTTGCTGGTTCTGAGATAAGGTGTGTAAGCCCTGCATGATATTTTATATCTTTTTGTATCATATTGCAGTTCGTCTACTGAAAGTGGCTCCGGTGAGGAGAGTGGAGACGATAACTTGACAACTACTGCACCAACAAGAGCACCGATCACACGTGCACCCACCACACCCGCACCCACAACAAAACTAGCAACAACCACACTGGCACCCACAACTCCAATCACCAAAAAGATGCTGGTCACAACGGTAGAGTACCTCGCTGACTCTTGCCCTTCGACCATGGACCAAATATTGCTCAACTCTGCCCTGTCTGTTATTGTCACTGGTTTTGATCTGTATTCAATCTGTGATGACTGTACCTCCGAGACTAGCCTTGGGTACTCCTGCACGGTGGGCGAGCCTGGATCTGTCACTATCAGTGGCAAGTGTATCGTACGTGGAACTGATCGAGCCAAGCTGGAAAGTGTCGGTCGCGCCATTAAACCCGTCCTGGAGCTACAGAACAATCTTCCAACTGGTTTCACTGTCCAAGCCGTAGTTGTAGGCGATGTTGGTAAGAATTCATTTTGATTTTATATAAATATTATCTATAACTAAAAGGGCCTGAGTGTTTTGTGTTTCTTTGTACAAGTAGCCTTTTGGCTATTTTGGTATCATTGTTTGCGTGTAACGAATAATAAAAGATGATACAATGAACGATAATAAACAATTTATTTAAATATAACTTTTATTTTCAGAAGTACTACCGTAAAAGGAGCATACAGACCAGTGATAACCAAAAATGGACAATGTCAAAATATATGACTGAAAATGTATAGTTGCTCAATCACCAAATTAACTTATTTTTATAAATACGTGTGACAAATCTGTATATTATTATGACTTTGATTGACTAATGTATGTTGGAGTAGCAGTGTCCATCATGATCGTTTGGCAACAAAAGGAAAAAACATACTTCGGAGGGATGAGCGATTCACCTCTTGGTTCATACCCTCCCATCACTAGGTTTAGATCACTTATATCAAAGCCAGTTTATGCTCGGCGAATTTTAAAAAATCAAATTTCTCATGAATTTCCAAATTATTGTAATAAACGAAAAATGAAAGATTCAATCTTTGACAGACTTTAGTATGCTTTGTTATCAAATGAATCCTTCCGATCGTTTAATGGAGTGAAATGTATGAGAAGTCCCTGTTACAAATTGTTAGAAACAAGAAACCTCATTTTAGAATCCTCTGAATAACAATTATCTTTTTCCAGACTATATTATATTAAATCCATTTTGTTCACATTACGAACTTGAACTCAAAACGAGAATGTAACACGTACAAAATGCAAACAATTAAATGAAACTGAATACCCACTAAATAATGAATACGATGAATAATGTAATTTATGTTGATAACGCAGAGATTCAGTAATGAGAAATAAAGAATTTAATTAAGACATAATATCTAGTATTCGTGTTTATTTTTTTGAAAAAGTTGGTATAGTTTGAGACCATGAGTGCTGTTCCTTCACCTTCATGGATATCATCTACTATATCTAATATTAAAAACTTTGAATATACCGATTTTTTGAAGAAGTCCAAAAATAAAGATATACAAACGTTTCCTTTGTTGAACTTATAATTATTTATTGAGAAACCTTATTATGATAATACTAGATTCGCTATACTCATTATAATTCCCACCAAATCTGAAATGTGAGAAAATCAATTTTTTTAATACTAGAAATAGGAAAATATCGGGAATGAAAATTCAAAACTTCATTTGATAAGCTTACAAAAATCACCGTTCCTATGTAGGCAAATGGCACGATGAAATAATTTGATTTGTGCAACATTAACAAAAAATGCTTCAGAAGTCAGAACTTATGTTTGTATGACCTGATTCTAACTCAAGATATGATTGTGAATATACCCATAGCGATAGCTTAACTTCGCAGATAAACTCTTTAAACTATAGATATTTCAATTCATTCATGTAAAATTCATTTCATATTGAAACTTCTGTATTATGTCAGAAAAATACATTTGAGATCGTTGAGATTTCATCAGACTCAGAATATGAGGCAATTTGTAAACGCCTGAGAGTGTAAAGTACGGCAAGCCGTTGAGGGTACATATATGATGTAGTTCTCCTGAACACACATTCAAGTGTCTGCTGTCACAGAACTTTGGACTTGATTATCAAAACAATAGAACCAACATTAGACATATGACAACAGTCCTGCACTTGGCCTGAGAATATCCAAAATGAGATAAAGCAAATAATAAACATTGGTCATACTATTGCAGATCGATCAAATGGCAAATCTGGTAAGTTAATACCCTGCGTGCAGAGTCTAGTTAAACTACGAAGTTGAAGACGAAGCTCTCTTTTAAGAAGTGAAGTCAAACGAATGCAAAGGGTAGTAAGTTAATGTTCTCAACTCTTAATTCAACTTAATAACATACTGTGTTCCATGAAATATCGATATTACTTGGTGTATAATCGTAACTGCACCAATTAATTTAGACGAGGCGAAAACAGGTCCTTAACTGTATCCGAATCTTATTTTAATGTAGGCATAACTTGTTCACGAGGTGCGATTCCCATTACTTCGTTTCATATTGTAGCTTTTCATTTCAGGTCTTCTTTGCATTATGCAGTTTATGCTTCGCATCTCACGCTTCTTCCCAATCTCTAGACATCACCGCGATAGTTGAGGGAACCGATGTTGTAATCACGGGAGGGCCAACCCGTGTATTTGTCAATACCCTTATATGGAATATCACCGTTTTGGACGATAGATGGAGTGATGTTATGCTCCGGTCGTCTGCAGACGACATTTCGTTTGGTTATTCAACCTGGCTGGGAATCGACCCTCATATCTATAGTGGCTATTCTTTCAGAGTGTCGACAAAGCTAAAGCAAGTCAAGGCCACTGGGGTCGAGTTTTGGACGAAATCTGATGACCGCAAATCAATAGTGTTCTTAATAACGACAGAAGATCCTGAGCATTGGATACGTTTTCAAATAGGGGACTTCACGGAGACTCATTTTAGTATCTCCGCTAAGTTGTTCAATGAGAATACAGATGCCAAGGAACCGGGAAGCAAATACTGCTACGACATAGCGAAAGAAGTCGGTGATGATGTTTTCCGAGCTCTTAAAGATCTTACACCAAATGGTATTTGTGATGGGTTGGACATATGCTCGAAAAGTACCCATGGTTTATACTCTAATAACTTTAAAAAGAAAATGTTGAAATTACTTAAACAGCAAAGGATATCCAATTTTCTGAAAAACAATACTATTTGTGATCTCTGCTTGGAGGTTTTTGAAAAGCTTAGTTCAGAGCTACATTCTTTTTTACCAAATCCGGAACAAAACATAGAAGAAACAATGATGTCATTATGTGATCAAACCGGTCAATACAGACTTGACATCGGCTTTCAAGGAGGCTCAGAAGAGGGATTCTTCGGGTTCGGGGAGCGGTTTAACGGGGTAAACCAAAGGGGAAATTCCCTGTATTGCTGGACTGAAGATGGTGGATTCAGTCTTAACATCTTGCCTGATACAAGAATTCCTCATTTCTTTACGCCAACAGAAACATACATTCCTTCTCCATATTTTGTATCTTCGAGGGGATATGGGCTTTATATGAATACAACTTTTAGGACATCGTGGGATATGCTTCATACAAATGGACAAAGCTTCTCGATACAGAATGAAAATACAGAAATGCAGTTGATTGTATTAACAAGGAGGACTCCATTAGAGAACATGCAAACGTACACTGCCCTCACTGGTCGCCCCTTAATTCCTCCAACATTTGAATTTGGTCCTTGGATCCGTGCGTCTCAGGAAATCCATATCAGTGACAATGTCCAAGCGTTCCAGAAGCTGCACCAAATGGACATCCCATCAAGTGTACTGTTTGATTCAAACCATTTCTTCCCCGAAGGTGGTGACCATAGCAACACGAAAAAAACAACAAATGAGAAACTGAAAACGATGGGTATAATCCCTCTAGCGTACTTCAATAGCATGATATCAACATCATACATTCCTGTCTTCGAGGAGGCTGAAAACTCGGGTTACCTCATCAAGCTTAATAATCAGACATACATATTTAGCTATAAAGGGGCAGGTCCAAACCCATTCAAGGTTGGCATGATTGATTTCACTGCACCGGGAGCCGTGGATTGGTATGGGAGACAGTTAAACCAATCGGTCCTAGTTTCCTATAATGGGTTCACATATGACTATGGGGAGTACATCGATCCTGAATGCACTTTTCATAATGGCATGACAGGGAGAGAAATGCACAATTTATATCCAGTTCTCTACCAAGAGGCAGCATACTCTTTCTTTGAAACCTTTGATGCCAATCCAGATGATGAATATGCTCCACCATACGTTTATTGCTGTCGATCAGGTTATAGCGGATCTGGGAAGAGTAACTGGGCGACATGGACAGGTAGGGCCATCTTCTTAAAGCCTAACGGTCATTTTACAACGGTTAATCACGTTGCTGTTATCAATTGCAATCATTTTGGTTTCCTGATTTTTACTGAAATATTCCGGAATTCGATATTCATGAACACTTTGCTGTAATAGGTAGTAATGACTTCATCGAGGTTGAATCATCATCTCATTATTCCAGGAGACCCGATGTGTGATTGGTCAAATGATTCAGGCCTACCTGCACAGGTGCATGCCATGTTGAGTGCCAGTATCTCTGGTATATCATTCATAGGATCTGACATAGGTGAGTATGCAAAGACATTTTTTGATTTGATTCTCAAAATCAAATCATAGAATTGTACAACATCGACGCAGTTTATCACTTCCCATAATCTCCATGCTGAATCACTGAGTGAATGAGCAAGTTTGATTTGGACTCGGAATGACTGAGCGGAAGGAAAGATCCAAGACAGAGCTGAAATCTGTTGAACCAAAAGTTGCATACACATGTACATAGTGCTCGTTTTGTAGGTGGATTTGTTTGGTTTGATCCGCCTTCTGCAGAACTGTGGTGCAGGTGGGCCCAAGTCGGTGCATTTTCAGGCATAATGCGCACGCAAGATGGGGGTACTGCAATGTCGGGTCAACCCAAATCCCACATATTAGACACACCGGAAGGGGTATACGTGTGGCGAAAGATGGCTAAACTCCGAACGGCACTTTTTCCTTACATCTACACCAGCGCGCATGCCTCACACTATGAAGGGATCCCAATCATGAGACACCACATATTAAGTTTTGCAGACGACCCTACCGCTCGCGCCATTGATACACAATATATGTTTGGACCTGATTTCCTGGTTGCTCCCGTCATTGAGGAACATTCCAAAAAGCAATTAGTATACCTACCTCGTTCTTCAACTGACATAGACCCTGTTGAATGGTACGATATATCTCAGATGAACTACGACAATAGAACTGATGGGAGGTTCAGAGTTGGCAATACAAAACTCGTCAGTGGAGGACAGAGTGTCGTAGTTGATGCCCCCCTTGATATAGTACCAATATTCGTACGAGCAGGTGTGTAATATAATCGAAGGATAATCGAACACGTCTTTATCAAGTATTTTGCTTTAGTTCAAAGAGAAAATAGTTCGTATTTGAATGTCTATCTTCCCTTACGTAATATTCACAACTATTGTCACTGTTTATTTATCTCATTTGCAGGAGCCGCTGTTCCGACACTTGATCCCTCAGTTTGGAGCCTTGGTAACTCATCTGATCCTTCCTTCGTATCGTTAGGCAATCGCTCTAATATCCTGCATTGGTGGGTATGGCCAAATAAGACAGGTGGCGCTATTGGTCGTTCGTATGACGGTACCTACATCGTACTTCATCAATTGTCAAAACGCTATATTGGTGATCATTATAAAAATGGTGACGTCATTAGAATGTCAATCGATTCGGATAATAGCGACATGGGAAATGAACATGAAGTAGCAATCAAAATGTTGGAAATATATGACAGAATGGAAAGAACAGCTATCATACAAATAGCCCTACCCGATATAGGAGCACAACCCATTGAATTCTCAGTCACTGATGACCGAAATTATGTATACAAAATGGCGGAAAGTTGGAAAGTCCTAAGTGATATAACAATGCCCACATCTAACCACTGCCAGTGGTTCTTTGACACGGACAACTTGGTCCTTTGGATAAAAGGAACTTTTACGTGCAATGATTTGAGTTCAAACAATAATTTTGAATCATTTGGCAAAAGAACATTGACAATAAGGCAGATATAGTTACACAGCAATGGCATAATATAGTAAGCATTCGTGAAGTGGAAAACATCCCTCAATACAATACTCTTCAAAGAAAACCCTTAACTTTATTAGTACTATGATAAGTCATGAGAGTTATCCAAGACATCATTTGACACAGTGCCTTGATGTTTGGATGTTTTTCTGGCATTTAGAATTCTTTCTCAGAGGCTGACCTTCAATCTTCAATGTAGTTCTTTCATATTTTTCCTAAAGAATCATCTCAGATAGAACTTTAATAGACTTATGTTGTATGATTCCTCTGAGATCAAGCTGAGATAATGATAATTTTATGAGACAGACAACATGAGCTTAATGACTCGAAACATTCCGTTATAAATCAGTCTACCACGATCAGTATCGATATAATGAAATTCTATTTCGAGTTTCAATAAAATGTTCTCATCGACATTTGTTTCATGTAGAAAACATGGGTGTCTCAAGAACTTCTAATTTATTTATATCCAATTCCTTGCAGAAAAAGGGAGAAGACTTAAACTAGGAATTGAATATAATCATAATGGTTTGCATTGTAGCTCGTTTGTGATCATTCAGTAAAGTCGTAAGTCTGTACTCGTCTTTTTGCACGAATAAAGACACGTTTTAGCTATATTTAGGTTATGTCCGTTCTGGAGATGGATTTTAATAACTTGGTGGCGTCCAATGACTCTACTATTGCAATGAACCTTGCCTTTAATTGCTTAAAAATAGTTTTATGAATGACGTTAATGTTTTCATAATAATGCAAATTACCAATTAAGCATCTCACAAGATAAAGTTAATGTGTTTTCGTTTTTTATTTGTATTTCTCAGGGTGTAAACATGATTGATCCATGATGAGACAATGATTATACACAATTAATATAACAATAAAAGTTATCAGTATCAACAGAGTAAGATGTACATTCTAAGAAACAAAAATATAATGTTCCAATATACAATTACAATTTTGAATTTAAATTTACTAAAGCGTTATGTTCAAGCTTTCTAATAGATGAGTTGAAAGCTTACAATATGTATCATTCTACACTATGTAAATTAATAGAGTCAAATGACATTTTTGATGAATTTCTATTACAGATTATAACCTTTTAATATTGCTTTTGACATCTGAATCCCCTAATTTTACGAATATCAATTTTCTCGAATATAAGATTTAGCTTTTCAAAAGTCCCAATGCAATTTGATATTAACCACAAAGGATTGAGCGGTCGTATTTGAGATCTTCAAAATGTCTATGCACATTGCTCTACACAAGTCTTCCTCTTCAAGCCACCCTCAACATCAACGTATTCACCGCTAACATCTAAGTGAGCGTGAGCGTAACGACCACCTGGTATCGCGAATCCGTAATATCGGATCTGAAACGTATAACAAATTAAATGAATGATCGTCAACAGATGGTTAAAATAGCAGTTTGATAACAGAGAGTCTTGACATCAACTGGAAGTAACAAGTTTTCAAAATCCCCATGCATCGATCGTCGTATTGTTTCGGCATATAGTTTGATTACTACTCATGTGTTTCTAAATTACACCTCTTTATCTAAACAAGTAAAATATTTATTTAACAAATACGTAATACACAATTTCAAAATAAGACTTTAAGACTTACCTTGACGTAGATATCGTCACCACTTCTGCAGTAAACCCTTGGCTGGAATTTGGTATATGGAGGATCAAGGGCAAGATCAGTTACTATTACATCTTTCAACTAAAAATCACAAAATTTTATTTTATAAAACTGAAATGCTTCAATCTTCTTTGATTTCTCAGAAGCATTTGATAGAATCCAATTCAGTGTAGCCTGCGTTAAATATATGTCTCTTCTTATATGACATGGATCTCTTTTCACACAATCGTTATATGCAAAACTATCTTGTTACATCTGTGATTCGAATGACAATAACAGTCTATAACAGTTTTACATTTATGCATGGTGTTTCACATGGGTCGACGTTAAACGCCATGCTATTTATTTTATGATCATTGTAAGAGACGCTAAATGCATGTATACATATGTGTCTGTTCGTCATAAACAACAATTGATGGTGATGTATGGGTAGAACTCTCCTTACTTTTTGTACCATTGAGATGCATGTTAAATTGACAAAGTTCAAATTAGAATTTCTCAAATCGCAGACCATCGATTTTCAAAGTATTTCAGAGAAATACAACGAAACATCTCACCTTCATGTCAAAAAAAATTCAGCAAAATACCCACGAAAATCAAATATTCTGCTCCCTTACATAGCTGGAGTAACAAAACGTCATCATATTTATGTAGATTGACCAATTCACCACTATCAAGCTCATTCATCCGCAAAAAAATAATCCCAAATATTTTACTGATCACTGTTATGATCACGGTTTCCCAGTTATTCTGGGCATAATATGTCTGCAAATTAGAGTATGCTATCCAATGATGTGCTGTAGTGTACCATTGAAGTCCCTAAACAGGTTTTTAATAGAACTAATTTCCTCATACCACGAAATAAACAAACCGAGTAAGGATAGTACACTCATACATGTATGTAATTATCACTGGGACCTACATTTTTGATGTCATCAAAGAATGAACCATTCACTTTCCAATATTGCACACCACATCGTTCTGTCATCTGTCTTGAAAAAGCTCCCTCTACGTCATCGCCAAATATAGGAACTGAAATTGGTCAGATCTCAGTTAGCCTTGAGACGAATAGAAGTCTAATTTGTTTACATTCTCCCAGATCAAATTGCTCAGCAGGATATACTGCCATCTACTTATCTATATCTGTTCAGACCTGAATTTCCTTTCGATAATATGCGACAAAAGTTTGATGTATCCAAAGAGATTTTATCAGTATCAAACTGTCAAATTCTTGGTTTTTGCATTTGCTTTCTAGAAATCCATAGTTTCGAGGTACTAACTGAAGTTTTGTTTTTGGCCATGTACATATATTGACTCATGATTAATCATCTCGCTCATCTTACCATCTTGTTGAGGTGGAACTTTAAGACAATCTTTTCTACCATAGAGGCCCTCATCTCGGCTGAGGAAATTGCCCTGGGCGTCAACACGGATATGGATGAACGCTGGTTTGTCTTCCATAGTCAGGACCCGTATCTTGAAAAATACAATTTGAAGAAGTAAGTAAATACAGGGAAAATAAATTATTCTGTGTAGTGAAAAATATGTGCTCGAACAATATTTCAAGGGCTGCATCTTCTCATAAAGAACATCTCTTTCGAAAATCAATTTCTAAAGAAATAGCAATATTAATTTCAACATATCATTTGACCGCATGATTTTGATTTATGTATTATGTTTCATTAATGGCATTGTTTTCGAATGACTTCAAATGAATTAGATGCATGGATGACCGTAGGTTGACCACGATTTCGTTGTCTTCGATTTACAATAATCTATTAACTAATTCAAATAGACATGTCTAATGAAAGTATTTAATAAATATGATTGTCAATTCATTTCATGCATGTGGGATATAAGGCAGTTTACTCCAAAGTCCCAAGAAATGCATCAACTGAAATTAGTCCCTTCAACATTTAGGCATTTGAACAAGCTGTGAACGGGACTGTGTTCGGCTACTTGCAACGACTATGCTTTGCTATACTATTTCACTGCACTAAATACACTACACTACACTATACTGTTTACTATACTACCGGCTGATAAATGTCACTCACTTTCATGATATATTCTTCTCCAACTTTTATGTACGTGTTGGCGTCCCATTTTAACTGTTTACCATACTCTGCTTCGAACCCTGCTCGTGCCTTATAAAAAAATGGAGATTTTTTTTATTAAAGAACCTATAAGATCAGAACATTGATTCAGTTTAAATATTCAAACTGGGAAGTCAAATTAAGTCTATCAAGAGACATGTCATAAATTGAGAAAACTATGAAATCGAACCATGGACTTACAGATAATGCTTTATCTTTGATTTCTTCATCTTGTTGTACCAACTTGTATTCTACAGGCGGGAACTCTGGACACTTCTCGTTCATGATTTTCAACAGTCTGGCGCGTCTAGCATCCGCTTCCGGATCATCGCCAAGGTTACTGTCCGGTAATTCCAATACTTCAAATAGTATAATAATTTAATAACTTCAACGTTTCAAATGGGTTCTGATAGATGTGGAAAGAATTTCAAGCAATGTTTTTGTCATAACCAATGTGTCTTGGACTATCGCATTCAAATGTAATTTCTCAAAGGGACCATCGCTATTATATAAATTATAATATGTATTCAAAGAGATGTGATCAGTGCTGAAAATGGCTGCAAATGTTCAAGAATATTTTTTAAACCTATCAAGTGTAGAATACACAATATAACTACACTCTCACTTTTAATAATAGTTTAAGAAAGAATTGACAAAAAGTTTTTTTCACATTTTCAATTGAAATAAAACGCTATCGTTAATCGCTGTATGATTTTGTTATCAGAATGATTGTATTGATTCTATCAGGATCTCTGACGTCCATTATGCGAAATTAACATATAAAAGTCATTTATCTATTTACGATTTTATGTTGGTAATTATAAACATGCGTTGATTATCATTCAATGCACACAAGATGTCTAAACGCATCTTAATTGATATTTTATCATTTTATGTATTTTAAATCCAATTGTCCAGAAAGGCAATTATCAGTAACAAAACAATATTAATCTTCAAAAACATCTTGTTTAAGAAATTCTAGATTGGGTTATATTTAGAAACAATTTGCATTTTATAGAATTCGAATGATCAAACCCAAATATAAACAACTAGACGTCAAAATTGCTAGCAACCCAACAGAGTTAAAAAAGCTTCAAGAAGTCTAAGAAATGTAAGAAAGTCCTCTTCCCTTCCTAATACAGAAAAGGTAGGAAACCCCTCTTTCCACCTCATAAAAAAGGAAAGAAAACCCTCTTTCAGAGGAGCTCTAAACTAAAAACACAAAGCATCAAATCCTCATAATGTGGAGCTAGTGAGAAATAAAGACTTGTTATAAGACTAAATTCACTTTTCAACGTTTCCAACTTACCAGGAGCTTCGCAACAGTCCATTCTGTGTTTGCCATCCTCTACTAAAAGTACAGCGCCATCTGGATCCAAATGAACATGAGCATACCTCCCAACTTCGTCATCCTGACTTCCACCATAGATTTTCACCTGGATCAGATATATACCGTTTACCCTTATTTCTTTTATTTTTCAACATATTTTAAAAATATAAATCTAGACTTTACATTGTACTGAGGTAGGAATCACTTATTTCGTCGCGATCGTGGAATTTTAACCCTTTCTTGCCTAGAATTATTTTAGGATCTAGGAAAAACTCATCAATACATTATGTAACATGCATTATGACTCAGAACTAATAGAGATATTAAAGTTCAGGCAAACAAATAAATACAAGGGTCACATAATCATGCCAAGTGGTATGATTGGGCAGGAAAGGGTTTGAAATATGACTGACCAAACCTGAAAATATATAGATAGAATGTGAATATCCTTATGGGATAATAACATTGTGAATAGTCTCAGATGGCTGCTCTATCTACCCTTGATCTTTAAATTTGAAACAACCCTACCTTTATACACAAATTGTCTCCAAACGATGTACTGGCCTTTGGATTATACATGCTGCTATCTCTAGTCACTTTGGATAATACCTCATCCTTTATCTGAAATCAGGGTGGATATGAATTATGAAAAGGAATTCGAATCGCCTACAGAGAAGATGACACAACTACGAGTTGTATCTAAAATAAGTGACCAGCCATTACGCCATTCCAATTTGTCAATAAAACGTTGAAGTCACTAAGGTTCTGTGTCACTACGTGTGGTGGTGACATAATAGTTGAAAAAACAGTGATTTTATTTGGAGTGTGTATGCCATCTTCGCTTGTACCCACCCCTACCCCATGGTCTACGCTCTCTGTTAACATCCAGACGTTTCTCTTACCCCATCAGCAACCTCCCTCAACGAATCATCGGCCCCGTTGTATTCACCTCCACATTTTTCACTTAGTTTACTTGCTGTTCCACTAGGTGTCGCCACTGTCACAGACACCACCCCCAGTAGATACACCAGCAAAAATGACATCTTTGTCTGGAATTTCAAAATATAGAACAGTACATCACGTATGGATTTGGAACATCGGATGGCTGCTTTAGATATAACCGATAGTCGGGCAAGAATAGAACTTGACAATACACGAAATAATGCGATGACCAGTGTACACCGTCCAAAAGTTTGGAAAACCTGAGTTCCAGCAGTTGGATATACTAATTGAATCTGTTCACCAGCTTCCAAGGTAAGTCCTCGCGATACAAAAAATATCAATCTGATTTAAGACCCCACCTTCTCTAAAAATACTTATTTTTAAAGAATGACTTCTTTATTGTATAGATAGAAATACAACGTAAGAAATCAACGAAAGAAGACTTTTTAAAAGTAGAATGGTTCTTTATTGAAACCTTGAAATGTAACCTTGAATTCGTTTCACATCAGTAAAACCAAGTGTCTTCATGAACTATCCATAAAATAGGAAACTAGAAAAACAAACAAACAAGCAAATATCATAGTAAATAAGACAAGGACATTCACTTGTCCCTCATCAATTTCTATAGAACTTCGAATTCCCAAAAAGTACTTAAACCACACAGCATGGGTAGCAGAGAGAGTCTAAGTAACAAACGTTACGTCCAGTGAAAATGCAAGCTGTAATATTTTAATTGTAAGTAACTGTCCGTTGGCACCATGAATATATGTACGATCGTTTTAATGTTTTTTGAGACATAAGTTGCTGAATTATGCTTTTCAAAACTCTTAAAAATGATAAACATGTCTACCCAGAACGATGAACAAATGACATGCCGAAATCATTCTTTTTCTTTTATAAAGCATAACGTCCGTTTTGTATTTTGGATAGATTAGACCAAAGAGATTCTAAAATTAGTTGTTAATCCGTCGCCAGTGCTCAAAATCTCTTTGGAGTTTGAATATAAACATATATGCAAAAATGAACGAAAAACTTACCTGAAGTTTTTAAGTAATCGTTGTCTTTGGTGTTTCCCAGCTTTAAAGTATCTACGGCTTTTTTGCTTGTAGAAATACTAATAAACCCGTTCGATGTTATATGTTACGCACTGTTGATTTTATTATTACAGAAATATAACGATAAGATAAAAAGAGAGTAAAACAAGAGTAATGTTTGATATCGATTGTTTATTAATGAAATGATAAATACGTTTGCTATAAACTGTAATGGGCAGTACACAAGTATACATGTAGATTCTGAAACAATCCAGAGACCAAGCAATTAATACTTAACGTCACTGATCACGGGACTCCTCTGCATCGGCAGATTCTCCACTAGGTTAATATTGCACTGGATTTCAAAGAGGTTAATTGGAATTTTAATTGACTATTTATATATAAAATGTATATAAAATAACACTTTAATGTGTACTGTACCAATTTATTTACAATCTTAAGTATATAGATCATATGACCTCAATTACTTTCCCTTACTTTACTTTGTATTGTATATTGTATTGTATTGTATTGTATTGTATTGTATTGTATTGTATTGTATTGTAATGCAATTGTGTTAAATTGTATTATACTGTATTGCATTGTATTGTGTTGTATTTCAGTTTATTTAACCATCCTGGGCAAACCCCCAGACCGTTCACGGTCACTATCAAGTACAGGGTGTTAAAAAAACGCAACCCAAAGAAATCGCTATATCTTGGAAAATACTAGTCCAATTGTGTTCATTTTTTCAGGAAGGAAAGAAGAGACTGTGTATGTATAGCTCATGTTGTTAGTTAGTTGTAAAACATGATGCCTTGGACAAATGCTCAAAAGACATTAGTATTGGAAAGATACGAAAAACGCAGTCAGAGACTACTGCCACAGCAATAAAACCAAATAACTTTCTAACCATAGTGTTTTGGCTATTCAAATTTGGCACAAATCATCTTCATTCAATGTATGATAAATCTGTAGAGTGAAATTAAAATCACTCCAGGGACTTTACAGTTTTGGTCGAAATGCTTTCAAAACCCAGTCAAACACCCTGGTTCAGCCAGACTTAAGAAGGCATTTTGACCATGACTGTAAAGTCCCTGGAGTGATTTTAATGAAACTCCCCCAATTCACTACAAATTATATGAAAAATAATTTGTGGTGAATCTGAAGTGCCAAAACACCATGGTTAGAAAGTTATTAGGGTTTATTGCTCTGGCAGTCACCTCTGGTTGCGTTTTTCGTATCTTTCCAATACTAATGTCTTTTGAGAAGGTGCCCAAGGCATCATGTTTTACAACTAACTAACAGCAGGAGCTATACACACATAGTCTCTTCTTTCTTTCCTGAAAAAATGAACACAATTGGACTAGTATTTTCCAAGATATAGCGATTTCTTTGGGTTGCGTTTTTTTTAACACACTGTATATAGTAAATCACATACAACAAGTTAACATAATGTCACTTACTACTTAAGGAAAAGTCGGTTATAGAGCAATAAATGTCATTTGATGAGATAAAATATATTAATTCTAAGTAATACTAAAATATAAGTCAGTTATATATCATAAATCTAAGGCATCATGCGACCGCACGCCTTTGCAACCTGGCACATGTATGTATAAATTGGCAATCATAATTTCCAATTTTCTCTCATCGTCCAAATTTAAAAACGTTGGTACTTTAGTTCAGATTTTGTGAAAAGTCCTGTCGTTTTACATGACGTTATGCAGTGTAACATTACATGGTTCGCATCCTCTATTAATTGTTATTACACAGTATGGACAGTCTATCATCAACCGCTGGGCGCTCGAATCTTCCCGACCCAATGCATAGTGTCGCAACGCCACACCTCATGCTCGAGAACGCCCCCTCTATCCATTAGGGAGATATTTGCTATTAATAATCTGTATGGCCTAAATTTATTGCGTCGATCCGGTCTCCGTCATTAATCATTTCAACGGTCCGCCCTCCATGTTCCCAGTGTAATAGCAGAAAGAGTGCCTGCTACCATTGACCTTGGCTCGAATGTTAAGTCAAGGTCAGTTGGAATTATGTTCAGATTGTAATATCAGTTACATTTCCAATAAGATACAGTTTTATACTCAATCAGGCAGTATGTTACGACGCAAGGGAAAACTAATCCCCAGAGAATCACAATTCTACACGTCCACGTTAACAACGTGTACGCGTTCTCTTGAAACAAATAGCTAGTTTTTGTCTGCATGAGACTATTAGTACTGAATATACAAAACTATTTATTATATGTTTTGCAAAACTTTGGACCAGAACTTTGGATCACCTCAATATAGACTAGTCTATAAAGATAACTTATCTGACTACTATGCATATGATGTGTACATGTACCTTTCTTTGCATAGCAAATGTTGTCAAGGTCAGCTGGAATTATGTTCAGATTGCAATACCAGTTACATTTCCAATAAAGTTTTATACTCAATCAGGCAAGTATGTTACAACGCAAGAAAAAACTAATCCCCAGGCCCAGAGAATCACAATTCTACACGTCCACGTTAACAACGTATTGCCCATGAGAAAGAATGACATAAAAATGAATTGTTGTGACCAGATTAGAATTTTTCGGTACTCTATCTTGGACGATGAACCTTAGCCATTTGGGACTAATGACATCAACAATTGTATCAAAACAAGACTTTGATCAGATCAAGAGATCAATGTTCAATGTTCACTATATTTGAAATCTAACATTAGTGTTTAAAGGCAGGCTTAGCAATATTTACTTGAGAATATTACGGGTTCGCACAATATCTCGCCATGAATATCAATGGGTAAAAATCGAGATGTAATCTCTCAATAACAGTGAACGAGGTGAGAGTTGAAAATACAAAATGGGGTTTGGGGGTAAAGAATATAAACCCATGCCCTATGACATTTGATCTATTAAAGTGTCACATTCATATACAGGGTGGTCCAAAAAATAGGACATTCGTATTTCAAAAATAAATATTGATTTTCTTGATGAATACAAGTCATATTTTATACCAATGGATAGGGAATTTACAGGGTGACCCAAAAAAATGCAACCCTCCATTTCGTCAATATTTTTCTTAAATGGAGGTAAATTGCTCTGAGATTTGGCACACAAGGATTTCATTCTATGTGGGATCCTTTTGCAAAGTTTTAATAATCATAGTCTTATATTGATAGAGTTATAGTTGTTTCAAAATATGCTCCAGATATCGTCAATTTCGCTGAAAACAAACTTGCAATGTTCAAGGAAAACTGTTCATAACACGTATGCATTCTTCCCCATGGGTATGGCTCAAATTTTTGCAGCCATTGCTTATTGGAGTTCTGCAATTGCAGTAGGGTTATTTTCATACACATTAACCTTTAAATAACCCCGTATATAGAAGTCAAAGGCATTGAGAACAAGACTGTGGGATGACCATGGCTCCTCCGTCCTAGGAGAGATAATCTTATCATAGAAATGACTAGTGAGCCAGGCTATGCTATCATTAGAAGTGTGAGGAGTAGCTCCATCCTTCTAGAACCACTGTACTCTTGTCTATTGAAGCCTCTGTGTCACTCTAAAACTGCCTGGGAACGCCAATATTGTGCTGTGTGTTAACAGTAACAGTGTTGCCATTATCAACCTCAAACCAAAAGGGGCTGATGAGTTCATGTTTGGAAATTGGCAGACCAAGCTGTGCATTTAACAGAATGTAAGGGCCTGTGAAGCACTTTATTTGGAATTTGCGATCCCAGAACACATTATTTCTTGAGTTTACATGTTCAGAAAGAAGGGAATGTGACTCATCCGAAAACCTTACATTGGAAATGGACGACATTTGGAGCATATTTTGGAACGACCATAACTCTATCAATATAAGACTATGATTATTGAAACTTTGCGAGAGGATCCCACATTGAATGAAGTCCTTGTGTGCCAAATTTCAGAGCAATTTACCTCCATTTAAGAAAAATATTCGAGAAATGGAGGGTTGCATTTTTTTGGGTCACCCTGTACCCATCTTTAATTTGGTATACAATGTGTTTAAATTTACTATAATGTCTGTCAACCAGCGTCCACAATATAAATGACGTCATTTTTGTTTCAAAATGGGTTTTCCAAAACCTGCAAAAACTAAGTTTTGTGTAAACTTGATTTACATACACAGACTCTGCTCAATATGTCAACCATTTTGATCAATTATAACATTCAATTTTGGCTTAAACTGGTCAATGGCATCATGACTTGGCATCAATGACATGTTGTTGAGACAATGAATTCCGCTTCCCAACAATTCTATCCTTAACAAGGGACTGTTTCGAACAAGATGGGGCTAAAAGCAATAGTTCCCATACACGAGTGTCAAATGTTTAAAAGAAAATATGCTTCGATTCATCCTCATTAATCACTGCCTCCTTCAGATCACCCGATCACCCAACATCTGCGACTACCATGTATCTATTCAGTCCCTTAAGGACAGAAATTATTGAGAAGTGAAATTCATTGTCTCAACAGCATACCAATGGTGCTTTTGACCAGTTTAGGCCAATATTGAGGGCTACAATTGATCAAAATGGTAGACATATTGAGCAGCGTTTGTTTATGTAAATCAAGTTGACAAAAATCTTGATTTTTGCAAGTTTTGGAAAACCCATTTTAAAACGAAAATGACGTCATTTATATTATGAGCGCTGGTTGACAGACATCATAATAAATTTGAATTTATGATATACCAAATTAAAGATAAGTAAATTCCCTATCCACTGTTATAAAATGTGACATGTTCTCAGGGAGAAAATCAATATTTTTGAAATACGAGTGTCGCATTTTTGGACCGCCCTGTACATATTAGCACTTCTCAAAACATAAATTGTATATCTTTTACTAGCTTACAAGATATTCAAAGCATCTCATACTTTCATAAAGTACAGCAGTACCAACCTTGGGGAAGGTACGATGATACGCTATGTCTTATTTTTAATTTTATAGAAAATGCACTTTCCATAATGTCATTGTTTTGTTAATCTCAAGAGTGTTAGGTAACAGGTCTTCTAGGCCTGCGGCGTGCGTCTACGCGGTAGCTAGGCGTCGTCGCCAGTCCAAAACAACAACAACAACAACAACAACAACAAAACAATGAGTGTTTGTAAAATATAGTGACTTTTTATAATTGCGTTACAATAAGGTACTAGGCCAATCTTGGTCGGCGGCGTGCGTCTACGCGGTAGCTAGGCGTCGTCGTCAGTCAAAAAATATTGTTTGTTTGTAAGTAGTGATCATTTTCAATTTAACATTTACACAATTTGTATACATGTATCTCCTTTATATAAAGGGCAATAAATGTATACATACATACATACATACAAAAGACATCTGTTTTATTTTGTTGTTTTTTTCCCGAAAAATATTCATTTCTGGGGCCATTGTTATTGTTACATTTCTGTCTTTCCGCTCTCTTTTTCAGAGGGTACCTTGACTAATGTTACGTCGTTGATGACGCCAAAAAATATACAGAAACAGAAATGATTAATAGAAAATAAACATAACCTAATTATAAATAGACTTTGCTGTGTATTTTGACCCGAATGAAGAATTTAACCTGAACACTACCTTATCGATGTGTACTATTACTACGACCGACAACTGGGCGCTTATCAAATTCATTATTTTGGGTGTTTTTATAACCGCTTCTTTTTGAAATTGTAATTTGCACTACAACTACTCCATATTCATTCTCGATCAAAATATATCCATCGACGATGATTATGCTTTGAATGGCAATTGCAACCATAACGGTATTTTGGTATTTTTGGTATTGTGTCATTCTCCTTCGTGTAGACTATGACCCTGATAACTCAGTTCTAAACACTCATACTATTTACATTTATCATCCACAATAACATAATTGATAATCGTTGCATCAGTCTAAGGAGAGGAGAGAAAGCTGATGGACATAAAAAACTGACTTTCGGGAATCGGGACTTTCATGGTGAGCGTTCGTGAAAAGAAACACGGCCTTAGCGCTAATTATTTCATTTTTTTATTTTTTATATAATCGTAATGTTCGGTATGTCAGAGATATTGGTGTGTGATCCTTGCAGCAATGTCCATATTTTTCAAAATGAATTGCTTTGGAGATAAAATCACGAGTGGTGAAGCAATATCAAATAACTGGTTGGGGGATGGGGGTTCAAAACAAGACCATTGCAACCTTTTCTGGAACTTTTCAAAAGGGCTCAATTTTACGGGACCCCTGACCATCGACTCTAACACAGTTGTTAAAATAGGTAGTACATGGTCTTGAAGCACGACGTAATTTTACTTGTAGATTACAACCTCCAGGTGTCCCGGGAGTACATCGTCCAGAAGAGGCTTATCTCGCATCAACGTGGACTCTCGCCTGGTCTAACGTTCACTTCACTTTATACAACACCATGGAGGGGCAGGTAAGTGAATCCCAAAGTCATCATATGAAAACTGAATTTTGAACAAATTGTTTGGAATAAAATGTTGAAAAGGAAAAATGATGGCGTCGTTGGATAACTTTTTAAAGCAACTTGGAAACAAGCGAAGAAGTTATTAAACTAAAACAGTTTGAGCTAATGTCTATGGTGTTTAAACTGCTTCTTTATTCGGTACATTAAATATTCCATAAATACTAAATAAAACAAACAATTTACCAAACCTTTACCAAATCTATCGAATGTTTTTTTATTTTATCGAATGTAATAATCTATACAATTTATATTCGCTAAATAGTTTCACTTGTTCTTTGTGTTGGCATTCACATTTGATATTTATACACACAGTGTACATGTATTTGTGTGATGCAGCGAATCTATTTGTTTTCCTTAACGCACGTATAATTCAATTAATTATTTGTACATTCGGTATTTAAATTATTTATATTCGGTAAATACCGGCTTTCGGTAAAATGCATTAACTATGTCATAGAAAAATAAACCATTCGGTAAATATAGGCAAACTTATTTTGGTAGGGTTCAAATAGAAATTCAATATTGTGCATATAATGTGTTACTCTTAAGGAATACCTTAACAATTTACGCAAAAAACATGTCATTTAGCGAATGAAATATGTAATTTAATGCACATAGTATTAAGTGATTGGCTATTTTGAAAACTTAATTTGCTGTAACAAACACATAAACGTTTTTACCGAATGGAAAATGATTTAGCGAATATTAATATTTCATATATCGAATATATTTGAATTTAATGAATAAAGAAGCAAAAATAATGCCATAAATGTCAGTCTGCGTGGCTTATGCTAATCTAGCAATATACAATGTTGTCATCGTGAAATCTTAAAATGAGAACGTATAGGTAGATCATAAACAGTTTATTGTTCAAAAGAATACGACACAAAGAAATCAATAAAAAGTAAAAATAAAAAAACATTTGAACACGGTATCATACTGAAGAGGTGAAAGCTAAAAATTGTGATTTTATTATACAGATTTTATTAATTCGAAAACAAAACATTTAACAACTTTTCCTAGGCTTATATCTAATTCATTTAATTGATTTTTAGGGTATTGCATTGCTGTTGGTGATATCGCTAGCAGTATTTGGATTATGTAGATCGAATCCGATCAGTAGAGGACCTAACGACTCCAAGTCCATGCTAAAAGAACACCTCAGATATGCCCCAAAGAACTACAAAGGTACGTAAATTCACGTGTATCACGAATTCAATGTTAATTGCGAAATATGAGTACAATTGATCGAATCATTCTTGAAATCTTTGGACCGGTACACCCATTTCTATGAGATAATACATAAGGAAAGGGAAACTTTGTCTTTAAATGTTGTCAAAACTTTAAAAGACGATTTCGCAAGTTACTATTGGTAGAATGTTCCCAGGAATACAGGCTTTACTGTACATTTACATGCGTTTACTTATCCCACTTTAGTATGACATTAGAGATGCATTATACCATAGGTTTCTCGCCCAGACAATCAATGATGTCCCCTTGTCATTGCTTATATAATATCTCACATAGCATGGATATATCTTGAGAATAACTTCCGGGTATATTATTGCCGAAATATTTATATAATCAACAGAACAACCAACCTCCAGAATTAAACACAATCGATTCCTCGGCTAGTGAGGGGAATAATCCCCGTTGAGTCACACAAGCGCCCAAACGTGCCTTGAACCAAGCAACCAATCAGGTTCATGATAAACAAATTCAACGACTAATCAGATAACATGGGGATTTTCCCGGTATATTTAAACTTCAGATTGAATTATAGGTCAGCACAATGGCAAAATTAACACTGAAAGCGGGGGATTTGAGACTTCTTCTTCCAAAAGGTCCAGAGGGGTCCTGAATGTGCTATCCTAGAGCCTCTTATATAATATGTATACACTTACGTACAGTAACTGAAGTTATTTTGTCATCGAATGCAGAACTGTTCTTATTTTCACTAATGCATTCCTCGAATGTCTGGTTTTGTGTTCTAAAATGAATTGTTTTCGTTGATGTTGCCTTCCATTCTTTTAAACATGTAGTAATACCATGATAACGTCTGTTCTGGTGGCTCCCTGAGTATGATAAAGTAAATTGGTTACTGGTATCCAAACCTTTCAAAGTCAATGAAATATATGTGCCGATCAAAACATATTGTTTTGAAGTTACATTACGAAATGTAAATGACTGTACAAAAGCTTGAAGATCATCGTGTGATAGTTTTGGTTTTAGAATGTATTTGGTTAAACTTTTTTCTTAGTGTCTTTAGAAAATAAAGCATGGTTGAGGAGCCACATTTTGGCATTCTGTTATATAAGACCAACTGTCTATTGAAATTTTTAGTGAAATCATATCTTTCAAATCATAGACTTCAAGTTACACGTAAAGTTAATGGTGAACTATCATCAGTCTCAAATGAATATTTCATTAATTAATAGTTCGGTACCCCATCGAAAACAGTGGCATCTTGAAAATGTTGAAAATGTCATATGTATAAGGAAAGTTTCGTGTCCCTAAGCCATCATAATTAACATACCTTCTTTTGCAGAGGTAGTTTTCCCTTGAGACAATAACTTAAAGAGGCTTTAAGGATGACAAAATAATATCCAAACGCTGATAAATTCAAACGGCTATTCGGGAAATAAAAGACAAATATTCAGTATTTATTTTTTGTAATTTCAGACCATCCAGATGGATATTGGTTTGGCACCCAAAATCTAAACTGTATGATGGGCTGGTGGTTCCATAGAGCTCGCCGCGATGTTGCGCCTGCACGCCACACATTGACCTATGCCCATCGTTTGGTATTTTATGGCGGGAAGGTATTCGAATGGGGCGTAACATCTAAAATGACATATAATGTTGGATACGACCCATCAAAACCTCATTGTGAAATAACATGGGAAGAGCAACCTGCAGGAAGATCAAACTGTAGTCACGTAGACATGGTCGAATTTACGAAATCTTACCCGGATAATTATGGCATGTACAATGCCTTCACCAACAATTGCCACCATTTTGCAAATTACTTTTCCCATCGTCTTATAAGTGGCCAATGCGGAATGCAGGACAACGCCTGGCAGGAATTTATGCGCCATCTATGGCAGGGACTATCGTCTGTTGTTAATATTGACTTCACCATTTTAATACCAGACGGAGGAAGACCAGCTAGATCATAGATTTGAATACTAGTAGACGGCATGTATTCTTCTCGATAAACTCCTTGAAACTATATATTCATGAACGACATTACGTGCTGAAAGGAATGCGTGTAGTGGAAACATAAATCTATGCTTTGAGAAAAAGCATGCATGAAACATGTGAAAGGTTCCGAAATTACAAGCCATCTTGTCAAAAATATCGAATGGTACCACAAATATTGACAATGTTTGAAAACACATAAATGAGTTGGATATTGTAAAGACACATATTTATCGTGCATTGCATGTGATCATCCTTATTTATTGAGGTGTGAATAAATCAAATGAAAAATATTTTAATTACTTTTATTATGCAAATAATAATTTGTCACTCATGGAGCAAATTGTTACTGCTTAATATATGGTGAATGACAAATTAGGTTTTATAAGTATGAGAATAGCATGATGTCTTGATATTTTAGCGTAACGTCGTTTGAAAAGTGACGGCGGTGATTGAAAAAAACGATGTAAAGATAAAACCGCAACGAAATGTTTGTAGATTTCTTCGAAGAACTAAAAAATGATCGGACATATGTAATAAATTACGTAGCATAACGTAATTTGATGGTTGATCTCCAATATGCTATATTCGTTCAATGTTTAACTGAAATAGATGTAAGAGACATCTACATTATATCATTTTTTTTAATTTTCTTATTTTCTAAGGGTGTATTATTTCGAGGTCTCCTCTGCCGAAGGCAGCGCGAAGTAGGAGCGTAGCGACTACTTTGCGGGAGACCTCGAACCATTGATCACGTTTGCTCCTGTAATTATTCACTTCTTCACCTCTTTAAAATGTGATTTCAATCAGTTGATCAAAAGTTCGGACTTTGACCTCAAATTCAAATATTAATATTTATAAGAAAAAATACTGACTCATTGATATATTTTTAAAAGTCTTTTAAATAAAGTGAAATGAAGCCAAAATCAGCTAAAATTATGCAATGTCGTAAAATGGCGTGACTGGAATATGATGCAATCACCCGTGACGTCAGACACGTATTGCCACATCAACAACTAAACAAACAATTAATATAGACTTCACTGATTGGTTTAAAGATTCTTCGCATCATTTGTGACGTCATTAACATGTTACCCAACCAACAACTAAACAAATAACAAATAGGCATATAGGTTCGTTCAGTGCCACGCTCTTGAATCAGTTATAAACAGGGATAATCAACAGATATGAGAGGGTCAGGCATTTTTTTGACTTGGAGACCTCGATTCGAGGAGTTTGCTGCATTTTCTTGTTTTTAATTATGTATAAATCAAATAATATATTCAACATTACATCCATAGGATGCTATCATATGTTATCAGGAGGTCGAAACGCGTGGAGTATTTTCGTTTCGTACAACCGGAAATACTCGAAAACAACTGAAGCCACCTATATTCAAGAACTCTGTTAGATATTTGGGTAAGGAGCTTTGTCAGCTGTTGGTGAGTTCCTACATTGTCGCTTAAATATCTGCTTCTGGTCTGACGTTGATGCCCAAAAGAAATGTATATATCGTTTCTATGCGAACATCTGCCAGTCTGAACACTTGTATATTTATAGATATTACTACAATTCAGCGTATGTACGAGGGAAGATCCAAAAGTTTCCGGCCTAACATAGTTCTAGTTGATGGATTTTCAAAATGATAGTGTCATTTTTCAATGTAGTCTCCCTGTACTTCGATGCACTTGGCCCATCTTCTTGGCAGCATCTCAAGTCCAGTTCTGAAGAAATCAGGAGCATGACCCTCCAACCACTGGTTAACAGCTATCTTGACCTCATCATCATCATCATAGCGTTGCCCTCGTAGAGATTTTTTGAGTTTCCCAAATAGGTAATAGTCACTGGGTGCTTGATCTGGAGAATAGGGTGCGTGCGGTAATAATTCCAGATGGCATTCTTCCGCTGCATCACGAGCAACTTGGCTTGTGTGAACAGGTGCATTGTCCTGTTGATGCAAAACTCCAAGACGGACTTTGTGTGGCCTGGTTTCATCAAGTCTAGCTTTTAAAGTACGCAACAAAGCAGCATAATATTCTCCGTTCATTGTAGTACCTCTTGGAAGGTAGTCTACTAAGATAGGACCTTCACAGTCCCAGAAAATAGTGGCCATCATCTTTTTGTTGGATGGGGTGGTGCGAAACTTCTTTGGGGGTGGAGACCCCATATGTTTCCATTGCATTGACTCATGTTTGGTTGAAGGCTCAAAATGACGCACCCATGTTTCATCACAAGTGACTATTCTCTCCATAAAACCTTGTGGATCAGTGTTATACATGTCCAAAAGCTCTCTTGCAACAGCAACTCGTTTTGTTTTCATGTCCTCTGTGAGCATACGGGGCACCCATCTTGAGCTTAACTTTTGCATGTGTAAATCTTCATGAATTATTCTACAAACGGTACCATATGATAATCCAGTTTCTTCTACAAGTTCACGTATAGATTTCCGCCTATCTTCCAATATTGTTCGATGTACAAGATCAACATTTCTATCTGTAGTGACATCTTTAGGTCTTCCAGAACGTGGTGCATCATCAATTGATTCCCGTCCACGTTTAAATTCAGCCACCCAAAATTTTACAGTAGAATAGGAGGGAGCACATTCCCCATACACATCCTTAAGTCTATCGTAGATTTCATGCCCTCCATTTTCTTCTTGATATAGAAACTTTATCACATCTCTATATTCAGTTTTCTCCATTGTGCAGCCACTGTGACCTGACCTCATTATGAATATTCTCAAAATGAGGCTGTGACCCCTAGAGGTTAATCATATGCATAAATTATGTTCATACATAAGCAACATTTGAACTGTGAAGAATGGTTGCTCTCAGACATCGGGAACTATGTTAGGCCGGAAACTTTTGGATCTTCCCTCGTATCTATATATGTCTGGGTTATTATCATTTCAACAAAAGCGAAGCCGTCGATGATGAGTGGTGGAGTATTGGAGTGTTAGTTATTCCACCATGGGGAGAATTCAGGTTGTTTCAGCCACGCCAACTAAACAGGAGGCTGTGCCCATAGCAGGTTTCACGAATACGGGGAAGCTCTTGTTCGCACTAAGAGGCGTATGATTTTTTTTGGCAAAATCAAATCTCGTGACATCAGTACAATCATAGGCGACATTAACACTCGCCTTACTACCCACTAATTGGCGGGTGTAGTATTTGTTGAGGCAGACGTAAGAACCTTCAAACGATGGGCCTGTAAGATGCGGATGCGTTGCCACCAGTGCTGCCTGGACAATACCACCCAAATCGGCAATACCGACTACACATCCTATGGATTCCCTATCAATGATGACACAGCAGTTTGAATATATAATACTCAAATCTTAAGGGATTTCCACAGCATAGAAATTGGAGTAGAAATAAAATTCATCATTTTCGAAACATCCTCTTTGTTTTTTCGTTTTCACGTGCTTCTTTAATACGAGATCCAGCGCTTTATCTGGAGCAACTACCAATATATTCCGCGATCTATCTCTGATGTTAGTCATGTTTGGTACAAAAATTTATATGTTCGATTCCTCGTTTTTGTATAATTTAGTTTAACAGCTTTAGCAGCTTAGGCGTCTGACCTCAATGTCATTATATCTTATCAACAAACGTGTCCGAGCTGTTTGTATACGCAAAAATAGACTTTTAGGTTAATCAGGTCCAAGTTCACGGTGGATAGAGGTGACAAGGTACTTCTTATTTATTGCAATGTGTGAATAAATCATTTGAAAAATATTTCAATTACTTTTATTATGCAATTGCATTTATATATAAAAGACTCTAGGCCCCTAGCTATATGCATATATGCATTATGTACAGGCTGGGCCAAAACAACGTCCATTTTTTTTTATTTCGATATGACTTTTTTGAACATGCATGGAGTTCATAAAATCTTGGCAGGATATGCAGGAATCGATTTTACAATTGTTCCAAAAGTTGGATAAATAAATCTTGAGAGTCTTTGAGAAATAAAGGTAAACAGACACCAGGGGTCTATATCAGAAATTACAGGTATCAGAATGTTATTCAAAGCAACAATTCAGACAAAGGATCTTACAAATGCCAGTATGAATTTCTGATCATTAGCTTTGAGTCTCAGAGTCTAGTATCACATCTAATGAAGCATGAAAGCATCCCCTATGACATGTATGACATCACACAATCCACATGATCATTTTCTAATAGTAAAAGCACTTAACAACATATTCAAGGTAACATTTTAATGTGTTTGGTAATTTATGAGAGTTTATTATTATGTATGTTAACATGGTTAATTAGAGCCATTCTCTCACTTTCTTTTATTTGCTCCGATTTCCTTGATTTCCCGTTACTATGCAACCATTTCTTATTCAATATTTCTGTTAAACTAAATATTTTTCACTGAATTAATAAGCCATTCTATGCTGCACATTCTGTGAACTTTATGATCAGCCCTCGTATGATGACTCATGATTCCCATTGATACAGGGCTTATTATTGTAACAATACTGTACTGTTAATACACCATGGCGATTGTTCCCTATAATATATAGTGAAAATGGCCGCCACTTTATTGTGAACCGCAAACGTAAACCTTTACGTTCCCGTTTACGTACTATGAACAAAAGTGCTTTAAGCTGAGCACTTTAGACGTAAACGTAAACCTCAAAATGTTTTTTTCCTTTTTCTTAGCGGCCTTTCGTTTTTTTTACTTTAAGAGTATAAAAAATATTACTTTCTTGACAAAATGATAAAAGTGTTTAACAGAGGAGATGTCTCACAGTCTGGCAGTGTTTTATGACATCTTAAATCTTACAAAATACAACATGTTAATACTAGTTCAATGTCGTCTTCCATGTACGTGTTGTCTCCATGCTGCTTAATTTAGTTCTTGAACACAATATGTACTGTAGAATTAGATGAGTTGAGATGTGGGCAATAGCCATGTATGTAATCTCATCAGATTTTACATATGAAATGGGTGCCTCAATATTCAAGTTATATTTGATTAGATTGGACACAAATGATCTCGATATGTTCATAGATTTGTGTCAAACATATTCTTGCATTCGACCTATATCATATTTATCTCGATCGAACTTGATAAAGCACTAAAAATCCTTTACGGAACGACCTACCTAGACTTTGATTTTTCACGTTTGAATGTACGTAAACCGGTAAGTAGAACAATATGACGTCACATCCTGAGAAAAACCTGCGTGCGCCTTCCCGTTCGCGGTTTACGTTGTAAAAAGGAGTGTTGCTTAACCTCTTTATTAATTCAGTTATAAACACGTGTATTTTCATATTTTCATTTGTAGTCCACAAAAGCATAATTGGTCGCAAAGTCATTGCATCATTTTGAGGAGAGAAAATAAAACTATTGGAATTAAAAAACTTGGTGGGCTTTGTTTCATTTGTAGATCACAACCTTCGAGTGTCCCGGGAGTACTCGTATATTGTCAAGAATTCGAAGAGGTTTATCGCTCATCAGCGTGGAATCTCGACTAGTACATTAACAT